AAACCAGAAATAGGATTCTTATGATATATAGCCAAAAAAGAGAAAAAAAAAACAAACTGGAAAAAAATTGACCTAAGAGACCAGTAACTCTTCAGAAAAAATATGTAAGCACTTGATTTGGCAGCAGTTTCACATCAAATTCCTTAAACTCTCCACAGCAACATAAAGAGAGTAAAGTTATCTCAATTCCTAAATTAATCTGTTTAAAAAACATTTGAAAAATCCTGTATTTAAGAGACTGAGAATCTCTGCTTTGATTGCAGAAAGTTTGAAACCTGATAAATCAGTGATCTTCAGCAAATCAATTTAAAAACCACAGGTAGCTACAACAGAGCTGTTGCCACAGAGCTCAGAAAATATTATTTCACTGAAAAAATAGTATGCAAAAAGAGGTAAACATACTCCAGTCCTGCCTTCAGTGAAGTCATAACACATTTTACCATTGTTTTAAAAAGCACCAACTTCAGCCTGCATAATAACAAAAGCATAAATAAATATGGCTATATGCATCATGCATTAATGCCTGAGCAGGTTCCATCTTTGCTGTGATCTACTGAGATCCTTCTGATCTGTTCAGACAGGGTGAGTATTCATATGACAGAAACGGTAGGACCTATCAATCTTCTTTCAAACTGATATGGAGTAAAACATCAATAACAGCACTACTCTCAAAAGCAGACTGTTTTCTGAATGCGATAAATTGTTCTGGGTGGACAGAAGTAATGACCCATATAACGCTGAACACTATTTCTTCGCTTTGCCAATGTCAAAGAAACACGCTATTTTGGGGGGATGAAAAAAAGTTATGTATTCATTAATTTCAAAGGACTTGTTTTCTTCAGTTCCCCTATTATGAACTCCTATTACCTATTAAGCATTTGAGCTTCTATGATGGGAAAAAAAATACACAGTTTATGCACTTGCCACTTATAATTCTTATAAGAGCACTCATAATACAGACCTACAAATGTTGTGTTTATTCCATGTGTATTCACTGCATCTTACTGTCATATCCATGTGATTATCGTATTTCTGCATTGCACACATTGCATGAAAACAGAGAAATGAATATACCCTCCCTTCAGAAATTCTAGAATTTTGATCATACTTTTTAGAAGTTATGACATACAGAAATTTATCACCTCAACCGCTTTCTTGTACTAACAATGTAACTATTTCTCACCATTTTCTATGTAGGAACAGTCAAGTCTAGCTGCTGTAACAATGTGATCTTTTATTCATACTTCTAATCTAAATTCAGGGTTAAAAAAAAAAAACAACACATTTGCTCTTAGAAAATTAAATTGAGATGTAGAGGAAGAAATTTACATTTAGAAGTAAAAAGTGACCTTCTAATATGGTAGTAAATTGTTTTTGACTTTTCTGTCAAGGCTCTCTGGAGACAGTTTGATCCTGTTCTCTAGTACATTGGCCTCAATGTCCTCTACTATAAATCAGCTGTGATGCATACATATTACTCAGTGATTTCCTAATATAATTGGCAGTATGTACTGTGTATCAGCAAGCAATTTCAAGTTCACCTAGAGCTTTGACAAACTCAAGGAAGCATAGCTATATAAAAAATGAAGATTAAAAATAAAAGTTGTAATGGAAAGTTGTTTAAAGAAATTAAGTTGCATTTAACAACTATCTTCTGAGACTACGAGCATGATCAGACTTCATCACATTGGACATAAATCCCAGCTGCTCATCTCTCTTCATATTCTGTTCTAGACATATAGAAAAAGGGACCCACAACATTTTGGAACATCATCTAGGGCGCATGTCAAAATTCAAACCATATAGCTTCTCCTCATTAGGATTCATTGCCAATGAAGAACATTCAGGAATATACACATTAAGGAACCTACTGAGAATAAAAGCCAAGCTATTTTGCTGCATAATGTACATCAAAGATATGACTTATTAAGACTAAACTCACAAAATGAGTAACTAAGAAGCTTCCTTATGAAATATTAAAAGTATGTTTTGTTCTTTAGCCAATCCTCCTGATGTTGCAAACTGTCTACACTACAAAGATGTCCCTGTCCATAAATATTGAACACATGCTCCTAATGTATTTGCTAAACAATTTGGCACTGTCACTTTGTAAAAGACATTAACTATTAACATAGCTTTATGTTGTAAAGAGCACAAAAAAATCCTGTGGCTCATACTTTTCTGAGTAATTTTCTCATTTGTGTCTGGACCAAAGAACAAAGCACCAGAATGATCCCAAACATGTTTACTATCACAGTGAAATTTAAAAAGGATATATTATATTATGTTTGCAGGCTTATAAGTATGCCATGTACAGAAAATGACACACAGCTGCACCAATACATGCAGAAGGAATTACCAAACTAGTGTACAAGCAAGATGTTGGTTGAAAATGCCGAAGTATTCAAAGCTCTCTGACAAAAGCTCCTATACTTTTGCCTCCCCAAATAATAAGAACCATGATTATGATGCTAGAATTTATATTGGTATACTTATAAAAATAATGCTCAAAGTAAAAGCCTGGTTCTCATCCTCAGTATAACTACCACTCCTGTGAGACAATACAAACCTCATTTCACAGCTCCTTACAGAAAACCCAACTATTCTATTGAGTGAAACTAAATGTAACAAAACAAAATGCAACATTGTTGAAAAACTGAGTGTGTCCACAATTAGTAAAATTACAACATTTAATTGAAGCACAGAATCCATTCAAATTTACTGCAATTATCCATTAATAAATTACAAATGCAGCATCTTTCTTATGTTTTACAAATCACTATCTCTAAAGCAGGTAATTCAAAGAAGAATCATCCTATTCTGGTTTCAGCCTAGATTGCTCATAAATGCTCCTAAGGCAGTGGTACAGTATTTGATCTTTGTCTTTGGAATCAACTAAAAACCAGGATAATGTACAACAGTTTATGAAGTACAAGACTAAAATGAAACCTTTAAGGAATACAGATCGGCACCGCTTTGTCCTAACTTGCAGAATGAATAAGGAACCAACATTACAGTATCAGAAAGTGTCCTAAGTTAAATATCAAAGTGTTAACAATGAGAGATAAAAAAAGGGTTGTATTACAGCTACTGAAGAAAGCAGAAACAATGCTGCATGTATCTACAAGCATTAAAGTAATGCTGTGCCGCCTTTTTGACCAACCAGCCCACAAGAACGGGATGCATCTCACCCACCTCCAGATCCCTACAGCTGAGCTAATCAGCGCAGGCACCAGGCTTTAGGGTCAGTGGGCACACAAGCCATATGAGCAATTTTTGGAAGTCTACTTTGGGATGAGAATAATCATACCCTAGAAGTGCCCTTTTTCACCTCCGAATAAAAAAGGGAACTCACGGCAAGAAGTTCACATTGCAGAGATCCTCACTCAGTCAAACTGCACCACCAGTAAGAGAGGAGAGAAACAGGTTTGTAGTAATTGAAAACACATATTCAATAAGCACAAACAAAAAGAGGGAAAGAATAGAAGAAAACATGGTAACCACATCTGTGTTTCACCTAGTATAAAATGAATCAGAAGGTCCATTTTAAAACTACAAGAAATGTGAAGAATTGGGATAATCTAAATAGGGATTGGGAAGCACCCATTGCTAACAGTTAGAGACTGATTTGAGCCCTTCACAGTAATGTCTATCACCCTTTCAATCACCTCTCATAGCAGGAATGACTGTAACTCCGGCTACCTTTGTGGACCGTCTACTATCCTCATCCTGCAAGAGGGAAAAGCTAACTCTGAAGATGAAGGAGGTTAGTGACTGCTAATGGGCTTTTATGTTATTCACTGCAATGCTCTATCTACTTAGAGGTAGAGAAAACAGAAACCATAGGGAAAGAAGCAGAAGATATTTGTGCTAACTGCATAAGAATATTAAAAATATTTAGCCTCTGGATACATACTCAAACTAACAAATGAATCCTGGTTTATGGTTTGGAAATAATCCAGTTACGAAAATAATCCAATCCAAAGGTTTGCAAGAATATTTACCTTTGTAAATCGTATCTGAAAAGTACAGCTTTTTTGACTTTTCTTTCCCCTTGAACTAGCTAGACATTTGCTATCCCTAAAATAAATTAATAATAAAGTTACTTTAAAAAATATCTAAACCTCTTCTTCATATTCACATAATGATTTTCAGGATAAATCTTCTCAAAGCCTGAGCTGCTATATAGTTACAAAAGCAAAGACCAATATGCAATTTACGGAGATAAGTATCCCAATTATGAAATAATGATAATGCTGTTACTCTTCAAGAAAGATTACTTCCATGGTTCCTGTAACCTCTCCTTTTCAGCTTCTATGGAATTTATAGTTGCATAATACTGCCTGTAACCTGTCTTGGCAGGAGCTAATGGTGAGACTGAACAAACAATCTCTGTCCTCACATCAGACCTTTTAATCAAATTCAGCTGACAAACAGATGACCTTTAACAGCGGCACGTTTCTGTCAAACAGCCCTGACTGGCCTTTCAACAACATCAGGAGAGTTTCCCTGCTCTACCCAGTAATCACTCCAATTGCAGCTATGTGGTTTCTTTCTGGCAGCTCTATAAACTGTCATTCCTTAGACTCTGATCCAAGTGTTGAGAGAATACGCTGCTAAACAGCTATGCTGGCACCCAGCAGGGGCTCTCTTTTTCAGGACAAAAGCCAGGCTTTTGAAAGCAGAATGTGTTCAACAATAGCATAATGCACCCTTCCAACATTTTCTTGTACAACGAAAAGTTTCCCTTAGTGAACCATAAAGAGGCAAACCTAGACGTTAATTTGGACTGGAAAACTTGCATGCCTAGGGCCTAGATGGAGTTGTGACCTCTACAGTGGAAGCAGTATGAAATATGATTTTCAGTTCCCACAGATGGCTATTTAATACAGTACAAAACCCTAAGGTTTTTACGCATAAAAAATTAAACGGCAGATACTGAAAACACATTCAAAGGTTTGGTTGATAACAAATGTGATGTAAAAGCAGTAAATTCTTACTCTTCTAAAGCCTGAAGCATGTTTCCAGGTTCTTCAAAGGACAGAATATTGATGATTTGGTCGTTCATAATTATATCTTCACTAAAGAGATCACCTGAATTAAACTGAGAATGCTCCAGTTTGTGATTCTGGATGAGTTCATGCTGCATCTCCTAAAAAATAAAAATTAACAATTTACACTGAATATCTCATCTGATTTTATTGCAGTTAACTCTGGGTGAGAAGGTTCCTACTTATCTGTACAAACTGTACGGCTGTAGAGGCTACAGAGAGATACACAATTCAGATACGTATCTGAAATCAAATATACTACTTTGTTTCAAGCTGAACTTTTTGTATATAACTGGAGTACATATGAAGACATGAACGGAGAAGACAGAAGACTCTGCACTGACTTCAGTAGACTTGTGAAAGCCTTCTAGGAGGTTATCTTCTACTATAAACTTTCTAGGCCAATTGTTTTAAACTTACACAAATTATATATGGCAAGATTACAGCATCATGAGGTAAACTATGGTAAATTAATCCTATGAATGATGGAAGTGACTCAAGTTTGTGGTTCGGAGACTCCACTGAGACTAAAGGCTAATAAAATTACCATACAAAACCCCACTATAAATATTTGATTCTTGGACCAAACTGACCCTTTTTCATTATTTCATTATCACAGCTTTTTCTGTAAAAAGAAACAAGGCATGACCTTTTCATTTAAAGGAATATTTTTTCCAGACCTAAAAGTTGTTCAGGGAGTAATTTTCAATCACAGAAAATAAGGCTGGAAGTGATTTATGAGCTCCTCTGGTCAGTCCAGGGGGATGGGAGATCCAGCATGGTCCGTGCAGAGAAGGGACTCAAACATCTGAATACGTGTCTCTTAGAGGTCTGCTCTAATCACTGTGATATTCTGACTGACGGCTCTAGCTCTCTCCCATTGAAGCTGCTGCACTTTACATAAATACATAAACAATTAATAGAAGCATAGGGTGGAACTTGGATCAACTTGATGAATATTTATCAGATTTTTATTTTCTCTCTCTGTCTCAGTATGTACAATCTGGCACAGCCTGGATAAAGAGCACTGAAAATGCTTCATCCCCAGAATCCAACTGTTTTGTCCAGTCACTCCATGAAATTAAAGCACATCCAAAGAACCTAAATTCAAATCCCTATTCCTGATAATCAGAAATACAATCTGGAACAAGTCTCCTGTGTTCAAGGTAAGTGGTCTGCTCCCTCAGCAAATGCTTATAACTTACAGACATCCCGCTTCTCACTTTGAGGGATAGAGAGGACGAAGAGAGGAATATGAAAGGAAACTAACAGACAAAGGCTAATTGCCCTCCAGTCTGAAGCTAACATCCAGGTACTGACAGCAGTTCTTTTGATCAGATTATCATTCTTACACTCCCTCTAAATCTGATTGTGCTAAACATTAGAGGTTGTAGAGATTGTATTACCTGCACATGCAATCCATCACTTGGTGGCTTTTTATTTATCTTTAAAAAGTCTTTAGACTATCTGTATTAGTTGGCAAATTATACCATCAGATATAATCAACAAAAAGTTTAAAGAGAATTATGGACAGTATGACTTACCTGGTTTTTACTGCGGAAACTCCATTTTAATATTTGGGTTCGGTAAATGATGAAAAAGACAGCACATGTCAGTACGAGTGAAATAAAAAAAGCAATGAAGAACCCTGAAGCATGGATGGCATGGCTGTACAAAATCTGAAATTAAAAGACCACGTTATTAAAATTACGTTTTGACTATATATAAAGATCAGACTCAAAGATTATAGCTGTAAGAAAAGTAGCAAATTATTTTTAAATGGCTTCACGCAACTTCAGGGTTCCTCAGCATTAAGTTAGAATTTCTATATTTCTATTAGAATTTTCAAACACGTGTCTATTTTCCGAGGTTTTCAAGACAGCATGGTTTGTTACATTCGCCTACTCCAAATTCTTGTGTAACTTCAAGCAACAGAACTCCCACAGATTGAATTTAGGCGCTATGACTTTTGGGTGTCCTGTACTTAACAGTTGGTTTTCCACTGTTGACAAACTCTCCTAAGTCTAGTTGAAACTGACGGCATTTGGTCTTGCTCAGAGGCTCTGAAAATTTGCTCTGATGTTGCCTACCTTTATTTAATGGATATATCTCGATTTAATAAAACTGAGTAACTACCACAGGGAAAAAGCACCAGTATGACTTCAGCATAAATATATAACTGACAGCTGACAAAACCATCCAGTGTGTGTACACCCTTGCAGTTTCTGCATGAGCCGGAGTCGGAAAAGAATAGCCGGAGCACTGGAACAGCAAGCCAACTAACAACTCTGTAGACCTTTCCTTTCAGTTTAACTTAATCTTTAAATTGAATTGCATTAAAAATTAATCTCTACTTCATGCTCCATGTAGCAAGAGTTAATTCAGTGTTTGTTTAGTTCATTGAGATCTCTGAATGAAAAACAAAGCACAGCTATTAGTATAATATTTCACCACAAACTAATCACTCTGCTGGGGTTAGAAAGTGTAAATAATTAACATGCTTCTTGCAGGCTGGGTTTGGTCATCTCTTGGAACAGAAACCTGAAAGCAGAAACCATGCAGTCAACAGTAATTCTGCATAGGAAGCAATACTCAAACATGGTTCACAATTTGAAAAGGATTTATTCCAATTTAACACTAGAATTTTATGCTTTTACTGCCTAGTTTTTCTCTGGTTTTGTACACTGAAAACCTGTCGTATCTAACTGAAAGGAACTGCCTCATGTCAGACTCTGTTGTTGCACAGGTTCACCTCCTCAAAGCTGCTGGAGATGCTCAGCACTCACTGATTTAAAAATAATTTCAGTTGTGGAGACCTCATAGCGGCCTTCCAGTATCTGAAGGAGGCCTTTAAGGATGCTGGGGAGGGACCCTTCATTAGGGACTATAGTGATAGGACAAGGGGTAACGGGTTAAAACTTAAACAGGGGGAGTTTAGATTGGATATAAGGAAGAAATTCTTTACTGTTAGGGTGGTGAGGCACTGGAATGGGTTGCTCAAGGAAGCTGTGAATGCTCGCTCCATCCCTGGCGGTGTTCAAGTCCAGACTGGACAGAGCCAGCCCTGGGTGACATGGTTTAGCGTGAGGTGTCCATGTCCACGTCAGGGCACTTGGAAGTTGATGATCTTAAGGTTCTTTCCAACCCTAACTATCCTATGATTCTATGAATTAGGCAATGATGTCAGTATCAACGGAATCATCAAGGCATTAATACAGGCTACTATTTGGCACTTGCACAGCTCCAAGAAGATCCAAGATTTACTTCACAGAATTGTACATGTACAATCAACAATTGCTCTGACAGACAGGGGTGCGACTGGCTTGTTTTTTTTTGTTTTGGTTATTTTTAATGTGCTTAGTCTAAAATAAGTAAACCCTTGAAGCACCTTGAGGTTCACTAAAAAGTTCTGGGACTAAGTATTTATCTGAGTAAGCCACCCATGTGCTGAATTCCTTCTAATACATTTCAATATCTTTTAAGTTTTTAATGGAAACAAGAAAGAAAAGAAAATGAGGAGCAACACAATAATTTCCCAGTTCCATGTGTAACTACCATCACATTGTCTGAATGTTTTTTCTTGATGTAGCTTTGGCCAATTGCTCCCATTACAGTCCTCTGTACCACTGGGTGGCTGAGTACCAGCTCTGTCCTCACCTCACTCTGCAGTGCCCACCAGTTCCTTGCCATGAGCTCAATTAAAGCTGCATCACTTTGTATCAAAATATCTTCATTTGTTAATTCATCTGAAAGATGTTTCTGTAAATATTAAGTAACTCCCCTTCCTAAACAGTGTTTAGCCCTACACAGTTCAAAAAGGTTTAGCTCATATCCCTTGAACTGAGACAACAAACATCTGTGTGGGACTTGGAAAAACTGCAATTCTGAAGACCATCTGCTGTCCCCAGCTTCTCCAGTCACACTAGGTGGCCAAGAGGGAATCATAGAAGGGTTCTTTAGCTATGCCATACCAAGGATCTGCCTGTGGTCTAACCACTTTCGATAAACAGGAGATGCTGTACATAATACTTAGGAAGAAAAAATGCTGCTTTGGAACTACTTCATTTTGCCTGAACTCACACTCATTTATCTCCAAGCACTCTGTGAAATTTAGGGATCTCTCCAGGCTTCTGGGGAAAGCAGGAACCTGGTGAAGCTGAAATGGAGCTTGTTAGCTTTTGATAGAGAATAAGCACTGACTAGAGAATTACCTGTACTTTCTAAGTAAAGTCGAGACCTACAGCAGCACAGTCAGTCTGCACCAGGGCAGGCAGCTCTGTCAAAAGTTAAGCTCCAATGGAGAAAAATGGAAAGAAAATCATCTGTGCTTTTACATTTAAAGTAAATGGGTTCTGGAAAGAAAGTCAATGTCACTGGGGGGCTGTACCTGCAAGCAGGACACAGTAGGCGCCTAATGACATCTAAAAGCATCACTGTGGATGGTGCGGGCAGGTGCTAGAAGAGCCCCTGCACAAGCCACGGTGCAGGAGCACTGCTGGCACTGCAGGTCAACCTTCAAACCACTGACACACCAGGAAGCCTCAAGACCCACATCTGGAGCTAACTTCTTAAGCCATTCCCAAACTGGAGAGAGGCATTACAGGCCCACGTTTCTTTCACAAACTGCTGCACTTCTGCTAATTTGAAGGATGCTGACAGAAGCAAGCCTGGAAAAAGTCAGATCAAAGTAATATCTGTGCCGTGCAACATGCTCAGATGGGAGAACTTTCTTTTGTCCTTTTCACTACAGCATCAAAACCACACAGCTAAGGGCAGAGGCACTCAGTACTCACAGCCCCTGAAGCATTGCGGGAAGACATCTGGCATGGACACTCACATGAGCAACACATATTTTTTTCATAACCCACAAAATTACCTAGTCACAGGCAACCAAGCACTTTCTTCCAGTGGCACAGAAGAAAAATCCACAGGGTTTGTAAAACTTTCAAGAACCACACAGTAGCCAAGTGTGCAAGCAAACCATGTGAAAGCTGACAGAACCAACTTAGCATGGCACTGCCATGTCTACACAATTAACTCTCTTTTCTGCCCCCTAAGTCAACATTTATTATTCACGTAATCACAAGTATGTTGGCTTTACCACACTCATTAACAGGTTTAAATAATGATTTTTAGTAAATATAATCTGAGATTTAGAGTATTTATGACAGCTGAAGGTATGGATGAAATACAATACATCGCACCTTTTTCAGCTAATCATAATTTCCTTGCACAAACTGATTTCATTCTGAAATGCCTTATGCTTGGCCACAGTCCAAAGGCAAACACTATGAATGTGAAACATGAAGTGTTCTGTAATTTCTAGGCTTTAGTTTTTAAAAATTAACAGCATTCTCCACACACCTTTACCACACATTTTAATTACAAAATCTGTTCATTTAGTAAGTCCAGATGCAGCTGAGCCAATTTTACCTAACTATGGAACAGTCCCCAAGAACCTGTTGAGGTCTAAATATCAAATTCAAGTTGGAAACCCCCACACTATAGAGGTTTTAAGTATAGTAATAGCAGAGACCAATGTAGCTTATAGTCTTAGCTTAGACATCACCAGTGGCTGTAGATCAATTCACACTGAACTCTACAGAAAACTATTCACAAAGCTATTTTTCTAACCCAGTCTGCATGGCTTACACCTTTAATAATATGAGTTTCCAAAAAATACCTTTATGGTAATTCCAAGCATAATTCTTAGCTATACAAATGTCCAATCCCTTTAAATCTTACTAGAACAGTAAGCTCTCTAGCCCATGTATAGTTTTACTTTATATCATGTTTAATTCTGGCTTCCATTTTAATAGAGTGAACACCTGACCTTCAATTATGAGAAAGCCAAGTCTGGACTTATTATACTGATACTTAAAATTATACTAACAGAAGCTCAGAGGGCAAGAGATTCCCAGCAATAGAGAATACTGGAACAAGAGGTCCCTGTGCCCAATCTCCAAATAGACTACTGATTTTAAAGGTAGAGAGAAACTCATGGGACAGGCCCATGGAAGGAATGAGCAGCCTAGTCCTCAAGGCCTTGTCAGGCATGCCCCATCCATATGAACTTTACATTTCAAATTATATAATCGTGCAAAAAATGTTCCAGGGTAAACCAATTTTTTTCTGCCTGAACACAAATAATCACAGTGATCTTGCCAACCAAGTCACAGCTCCTTAAGAAAAGACCCCTTGCAACACAGCCTGTCAAGGTAATAAGGGTAGGGGAAGAAAACCAAGTTTGGTGAACACATTACTCATTACTCAAGCAATAACAGGGATGGATGCAGTGATCCATCTTAAATAAAAATTATCTAGAATAGTGCTGTTCACTGCATTCAATGTAATTTTGAAGGCTTATCTGGCCTTTTAGAAACCATAATAGGAAATCATAGAATTTACCTTGGTCTTTTCTTCTTCAGTTATGGTGAATGATGCTGTCAGTGATACGAGATGTGTTGCATTCTGAGATACAAAAATATTACATGCATGAAAACAAACATGCAGCAAACAGCCCAGAGTCCCTAGAAAACCCTGTGTTTAGAAGATAAGCTATATTTCTCATTAAGCTTAAAGCTGAAATAAATCTGTCAGGAAAATGCAGTGTACTTAGGAGTAACACTAACAGACATGGAAGCAGCTACTCTGTGGGATACACTCTCCCGCTAATCACACAGAAGCATATTCCGGTGCTCACAGAATCACATGCCTATAAAGGCTGGTTGACTTAAAATGCACAGAACAGGAGCCACAGGCAGTGCACGTCTCTACTCTTACAACTCGCTGTTTTTTTGAAGTCTCGCTCTCCTCTATGCTAGTAACACTCTCATGCATGCTGAACATTTTTTCCTCTAAAGCAAAGGAGATACAACAGTTGAAATGAAAAGACATGTGCAGGTTCTTTACATGCAACAATGAAAGCCACATAAAAAAAGTATCAAGCCATATTTTAGAATTGGAAAATTTTACTTTGGAAGAAAGCAAAGAGACAGGCTAACTCCAGCATTCATTAGATCAGCTGTCTCAGAGCCTGGTGCAACTGAGTTCTCAAAAATCAGCAAGGATGAAGATTTCTCAGCTTCTCTGGACAATCTGTTTCAGAGATTTACAACTCACACACTAAAAAAGTGTTCTCCTTACAAGCAAAGAGGTTTTAGTTTACTTCAGCTTGTTTTTTAGTTAAAATAAATTCTTTTTCTGATAAAAAATGGTAAAACTTTCAATCTCTCACAGACTAAACTGGAAAGAAATACAAAAAGCAGGAAGAAAAGCTACAGGACAACACACAAACATACTCCCCCTATTTAAGGACGTCTAGGACTTCCTAAGCCATAAAGGGTAACTCATGTATTTATAAATTTATGGTAAGCAATCAGACAGCCTAAGAACTTAATTTCATTACATGCAGGCCTCATTGCTTAGGCAAACAAGCACCGCCTTGGAGATTCTTTTTAATTTATGTTTTTACAAAAACGGTGAAGAGCAAAACAAAATTGTAAAGGAAATACCTGTGATGAACTCTTGAAAGTTAGCTTTGCAGGCAGCATCAAGACCCTGCCATCCCATGTTTCTTTTGCGTCAAGAAGTGCAGAGTAGTTGACTGCAAAGTATTCTCCACCTTTTAAAGGAGAAAAAAAAAACAGCTGTGTAGATTAAGCAGGTGAGGTACACCTGACAGTGCATTAGTGGCCTCTAAGTATTGTGTCTGCATTTTTTTGAACAGTAGCTATACCGACATGAAAACAACCCAGTACAGTTGTACATCATTTTTCAAACAAGAATGGGAGTGAATCTCTGAAGAGTGGAGCACCCAGCTGAGCTCAGCTGCAGCTACAGATGTTTGCAAAATTTGAAAAGTAAGTTCAATATGAATAAAACATCTGAGGAGCTTTCTGGGTGCCCCTTTAGACTTACGCTTCCTCAACAGCAAAAGTGCCCTCCTAGGAACCCAGCTGCAGTAAACTTACAACACTGAATTCAAGGGAATTCAGCAGAGGAGGCAGCCAGAGCCTAACAGCATAACTCAGAGAGGAGAGATTTGGATAGATTTGCTTTGTCCCAGGAGAATTATTTGAAGATCCCTGGCAAAGGCTTGAGACTGTACTGGAGCTTTTTCCTTCTGAAACAGCAGATGCCCCGCATCCAGAGTAATGGCCACATGAGCCCAACTTGTTCCAACAGTTCCATGTCCTTTTCATGTTGAGGACACCAGAACTGCACACTTTACTCCAAGTGAGGTCTCACGAGAGCAGAGGGGCAGGATCACCTCCTTCGACCTGCTGGTCACGCTCCTTTTGATGCAGCCCAGGATACAGCTGGATTTCTGGGCTGCAAGTGCACACTGCCAGCTCATGTTCATTTTCTCAATACTTCAGCAAGCCAATCTGCCACGCTTGGCTAAAGAAGGAAGCTTTGTCAGGTATGATTAAAATGGCTTGTGCAGCAGCTTTTAAAAATACCCAAAATGAACAAATACTATCATGAAAGGTTCTAATTAATTTTGATGGTAGCGACTTTTACAGAATACAGGGCCTCAATTCTGTGCCTGGGAGATCAGAAGCAGTTCAAAGGTGGGAGTCAAATTATGAGCTAATACAATTGTAAACTGCAGCACAAAACCTCTTCCGAAGTTTTTCACCTGTATTAACTCATAATCAGAAAATTTACACCAGCAAAAGTAAGTAACTACTGTGATTTGAACAGATGCTCTTCCACATCTGTAATCCAGGGTAGATCCCTGTAGATTTTGTTACCTTGCAAGACTCCTTTGCTATAAATCTGTATGCCATCTGTGGTCTTATTGCCACTGTTTTTTTGAACGTGAAGACCAGTGATATTGTCCAGGAGGATAAGATCTGTAATGTTTGTTGAGAGCAGTGTGTTGGTGTTATTAATCAGAAGTGTGATGTGTGCGATTTGAGGGTCATGTTCAACATCCACCTGAAAACAGAAATATTAACATTAATGGTGCAAAATGGCTGTACGTGCATCTCTAACATCAGAATTCATAGTCTTGATTACTAATAAAAGTTCAGTATATGTGTAAACTTATTTTCTGAATGCATTCTGAGAGGCCTGCAAGTGCCACTCCACTCTCTTTGATCTCCAGCTCCCAAGATTTTAATCTTTGGTATGTCAGGCTGTTGCTTGGAGACAAAGGGACAGAAACCCACGAGCTAGAAACCCAGCTCATGCAGAACCAAAAGTGAAAATAAGACCTTGAGCGTCCCTGTGATACCTCATACAACACAAAACTGTATCAGAACCTTAAAAGCAGAGTCTGGAAAATCCTTAAACTTGAACTTCTGTACCATGAAGATGTTTCTTTAGCAAGCTGCCCTTGCTGCAGATTCATTCTCTCTAAGCAGTTTTGGTCTGTATTTCCCTTTGCTCTCAGGAACCACACTCTCTGAAGGGTGCTGCTGCCTTGATTCGCCCCTCCCATGAGAGGGCTTGATGGAGCCACAGGTGGGCTTGGAAGTCCCATCCCTACTTCCAGTTAGTGGTGAAGTTCAGAAACTAATCACCAACCTCTAGCAACATGCATCAACATTATTTTATTTACTTATTCCACTAGGCCATTAACTGTCATTGAATAATTATACCCTCTCAATAAAATTACTTTGAGCACAGAGTTGCTTACTGACCTCTCACCTTCCAAATTGTCTCCTGATATAACTCATATTAAACCAGAATTGCCTAAAGCTTTATCAGGTCTATAATATGCTGGCCTATAGTACATCCTTAATGTCGTATCAGGCTTCTAATAATGACACTAAATTAACACTTATTTTACTGACCAAAGTACGTTTCAGGCTGAACCTTTCTCTTTTTTCCTCTTCCTTTCTAGTCTGTATCACGACACACACAAATGGAAATAAAGCAGCCCCCAGAGAAATAAGTTCTAAAAACATGAATTGTGCGACAGACTTCAGAAATCACACCAGAGTTTGTGGCAGCCACAGGGCCTGTCATATGTAGTTATGATTTCATTGTAACACCATTCATCTCTGCATTTCATACTAATTGAGTAGAGAATCAGATTACAGTTTTAGGATATCTTATGCATCAAGGAGAAAAAAAAACTTTATTGACATTGCTTTGTTTGCATTTTCCTATGTAATTAAATATCTAATAATGTACTACTAATAAAAGTACATTTAATAAACCTGTTTAACTTAAGTGTTCTACACACAGCAAGTTCAACCCTCAACTGTACAGAAGAAACAGATTTTATGGAAGAAAAAACCCAACTATTTATTGTACTAGATTCTGCAAATAATTGTCAGCACATATAAAAATAGGCTTAATCATGTTTGTGAGGAAAATATTAGCAATTTCATATGTTTGTACATCATTAATTATACCCCAACACTTATGAGACATAACTCCACTATATATTAAAAATGTGATATATTTGGGGCAGACTTTCTCTCTCCTGGTTTCTGAACTGGCATGATGCAGTCAATATGCCTTTCAAACTCTCCTGTGCAGTCACAAAGGCTTTAAACTTCCTTTAAAAAAAGCACAAACAACATGAAACAGGGAAAAAAGCCTCAAAGCCACATAAAGAAAATCCAAAGCCACAGAGCAGAGAACCTGACCCAATCACAAAAACAACACACCTTGAAAGATTCGAGGTTCAAACTACACAAGTTGTTAGCACTACCTTATGCTCCACAGTAAGTGTGGATTGGCTTGTGCAGACAAACAAGTATGCACCAGCAATAGAGGACGCTGGGGAAAAAGGAAGAAACAGAAAAACTTTTTCCTCCCTTCATTTTACCACACCTTTCCCTTGCCTTTCTGTGAGATGAAGCAAAAAAAATGAGGATTTCAGGGCCTCTTTCTCTGCTTCTAATTAGGCACAAATATATTCCTTTACATTTGCGGTGAAGGGATGTAAACAGTAATTTAGATAAATTCCTACAATAAGATAGGCAGAGAAAGTTGCATGTGTATATTCACAGGCAGGAGGGGGAATATGGCAGCATTAGTCCTTTCCTTCCCCTGGGCAGAAGGTTTAATGCATGCTCCAACACACCATTCATTCTCTTTCTTCAACCAATTTTGCACTTTCTCTTCAGTTTCTTTCATTTAATAAAGTTCTTAATTCAGTGACTAAACATAACATCCCTTCAGAGGTATCCCAACCATACTGCCTATCACCTACCACAAGCAATGTAGGAATAATGTTGGCAGTAAGTTAGAACAACTAGAAATGGGAAAGGATTAAAAAAAAAATGAAGCACCATAGAATCAAAGATAATCTGTAATGCAAGAATACTTAGAAGATTGAGACAAAAAACGCGTAAATGTATTAAAAGCCAAATAGTCAAATTTAAAGATTTACTTCAGTTTTGTTCAGGATTATTGTCATGATGAAGTACTGTTACAAAAAAGTTCATGTCATAATATGGAATGAGGCTCTTAAAGGAGTACACTTCTAGAAAGAAGGAAAGGACGGGGTGCTGGAAGCACAGGTAAAATTTCAATAAGGTTATTTCTGTGATGAGGTGTTGGAAAAATCCTGTCTCTGAGAGGTATACATATGTCATCTCCATGCTTCGAGGAATCACTCATGTTTTAAATGGAAAATGTGCAGAATATACTTTTTTCCATCTAAAACAGCTAAAGACCACCATATGGCCAGTGTCTCTCTTAGCAGGAAAGCATCTGTTCAGATGAATTAGGACTGAACTAGATGACAAGGTAAGCAAAGGAAAATAAAATATGAACTACATTTAAATGTGGAAAACAATCATATACAATTGCATAGTTTTCTGTAATTCACACCCAGAGGTCTGCAAAATTATTTTCTGATAATCCTTGCATCTATAGCAGATTAACCTCGATGTACAGCAGGATTTCACAATTTTTAATGAGCCTGTGTGAGGTTGTGCTATAAACAGCAGGAAAAACCCAACACGTAACTACCTCAAACTCTTTGAGAGGCTCTGATATAAAAATTGGGAATCTACAGTTGGAAAAACAGAAGGATCTGTGTTACTGCTTCTTATGTCTGAAATGCTGACTATTCAGCCTTATTAATTATGATATGCTGCCATTTCAATAAGAATATTACAGGTAATTTATGCCATGAGATGAGATGCATATTCATTCTTCTCTACGCAAATGATCTGGTGCAATTTATAACACCACCTCTTCTGTCCTGGTTTCTGAAACTACTCTCATATGCAGCATTTACTGAATTCATGCTTGTCTTAAAATTGGATGTGCTTTCTCTCTCCAAGGGACAGGTAAGAAAAACTGTCTCTAAACAGAAAAATTCAGACTTGCTCCATCCAGTGTAAAAATCAACCAACTAATCAACAAAAACAGGGAAAAAAACAGAAAGGAGTAATAACAGTGTCGGTAAATCTATCAACCTATGCCACATGAAGTAAAAATAAAAAGGAAGGTTTAAAATTTCCTTATATTAGGGAAGTCTTTGCTCCTCATAAGCATTTCACACACGTCAAATTAAAGCTTTTTTCATTATATACTGTGCAGTAGCTGTGTCTCACTGAATATGCAGACTACGACATGTTGGTTCTTCAATGGATGTGTGATAGGATGGCCAAAGATGCAGTGGGCATCACAAGGCCCAGTGCCCTACTCTTCAAAAGGAGTCTACAGGTGACCCAGGTAGAGCACCCATGACTGAGACAGAAGAATATCTCAGAAGGCTTATCTCATCCTCTAAAGAAGTTTGTCTCTATCTCTACCCAGCCTTGTGGCTGATTTCTAGAGTTCACTGGGCTTTGTTCATTTATAATTTTACAGATTCACACGGAAGCATTTAGTTTTACGACAATCCAAAATCCCCTGAAGTCAAGAGAACATTTCACTGACTTCAGTTTTGACTCAACAATGCAAAACTGTGCCTTTTACAGAGGGTGTAACCATCTTAACATCAAAAAGGATGTTCTCCCAAATACTCAGCATTTGCACAATTCTGTTCCCACTTTTTAAAGGACATTAAGGAACAAACTTCCTACCAAATTAACAAGACAAATATAAGAAAACTTACCACACCACATTTCTGAAGGGTTATTCCAAACCCAGAAGAAACTGACACATTGGACACATCTTTAATCTGGAAGAAGGGGAAAAGTCTACATAGTGTATGAAAATATAATTCACAAACTGCAGCACAAGTTAGAAAGGTAAATAATGAGATGAGAAAAAAGTAGTGGTATTGTCTTCAAATTTAACAGCTTTTTTATTCCAATAGCTAATCTTTTTTTCTAATCTAAATTTGTATGAACTACTTATTCCCACAAGTAATTACTAGTATCTTAATTGATATATTCATCTTTGGCCATCACAATTCTCTAACAAAATATTCTCTGCATAACATTATCAGACTTCACAGATCCATCTCATTACTAAGTGTCTACCAAAATTTACACAGCAATCACGTAGTTTATCTGTCACAATAACTCTTTGTGCATCTCATGAGTTTTTGCTGCTAAAGCCATTTCAAGTGATCATAACCACCTGAGACAGAACTAGAAATGTACTAATTGGGTAGTAAATTCCCAGCTTGTGATATAATTGCTACAATCCTGAGAGTAAAAGTTGCAAACCATCTATTACTGACCTGGTGGAGGTTAACAGAAGACTCTCGTTTGAACAAAATCTTATTTGTCCATGAGGGTACCAATGTAAACAGCGAATGGCTCCACTGATTGTCCGAGGCTGCAGAGGTCAAGAACTGGTGAGGGGCTTCACTTTCTTGAGTGGCCAGAAGTAATGGCATTGCTGCAAACCAAGACAAAAGTATGCATTACAGCTAAAGCTGGCTCCTGTGCGGCAGACACTGGGTGCAGAGTCCAGGCATGGATGGGGCTTGTGGTACCTGGTACTCTGTGTGGACACTGCAACCAGCATGCTCTCCCTCAAAGCACTTAAAATCAATACAGATAACACAGATATGAGGCCATACAGGAAACAGAGATGGGATTTGCCCCCCAAAACCCAGCAGGACTTAGAACAAAAGTGTTTCCTACGTAGGGAACACACACATACCCCACAGAAAAGTTATTGCCATTTAAATGTAAAGTGTCTAATTCATAAATTAAAAGGTTCCAGCCTTAAATCAACTGTTAGTATTTCAACACAAAGAAATTTTCAGCAAAGCATAAATAATTGAAGCACTTAACAGTGTGAGAGGCCTCAGTGTTAAGGGAGCTCTGCTTCAAAGATACCATCTGCCAATTAACCATTAACTGTGTCAATATTCAGAACAAATATATTTCTCAGTTGAGTAAGGGTCTCAGTTACATTTCAGCTGAATTGGAGTGCCAACAAATCAAATACTCCTCAATTTGGTAATTACCAATATAAATGCTGTTTATACTGTTTTATTTTCATGAACTATTAGTCCATGATATCACACAAAATTATAAAAACTGTTTTGAAATCATATCACTTTCATCTACTAAATTAAATGCACCTATGACATTAATAAAACGAGCTTATACTAAAAATCAGTGGTTTAATATACTAAATTGTCAAAAGGTAAAGCTGCTGAATGAAGAGAAAAAAATGTAATGAAAATTCAAAATTATATTTGGCTGCCTATGTTTAAAAGAGATTTTTTTTCATTCTTTGCGTTAGAGTTCTCATTTATTACTTATTTTTAAGTCCCATATTTTAATCATTAGCAATATCTATTCATATGAAGAAAACCTCATTTTTGGCAAATGACATTTTTCTATGAAGTTTTCATTTTTAAAACCTATTATATGTTCACGAAATATAAAAAGCTGAAGATACTAAAATCTCATTAATTTGAGAAGCAGCATATTTTTGAAAAGACACTGCTCTGTTGGAAAACCAATACAGAGAAATTCTGTTTCCGGTAAACAGGAAAGACATGCAAAGAGCATTCAGAATTGGATTTTTAAAAGGAGGTCCTATAAAGGACCTTGAAGTATTTATGCACATGAATGATGAGAAGATTTTTGTTAACATGAATGAGATGCAGTCCTGCTGCTTACAGCACCCAGATGCAATGTGCACCTTGAGGAGCTTCACTATCACCCCATGCTGGAATAGCATGCTTTTATTTGGGAGGGAGTACATTGGACAAAGTTGTGGATATATGGGCCAGGAAAAGCTAGTTGTTTATATTTTGCAATCAGCTTTAATTTACTTATCTAAGTTCTACTGAAATACTTAAACCACTGCTAAGCAATGAAACAGACACAGACTAATTTAGGGACTGTAAAAATAACAGGATAAACTTGTTGAGAACAGTAATATGTATAGTTACAATACCAAATGTCTACGTATCTTTGGAGTTGGAATCCTTTCAGGGTAGTCACGTATGGCATATTTCTCTTTCAAGACAAACAACAGCCCAAATCACTCATTATGATACCAGTGCTGAACTGTAAGTGCTGCACAGTAAATCAGCCCACCTGGCCGTGGCACTCCCCAGCAGATCCAAGTATCATTCCATATCCCACCTCCAATGGCTCTAAACCTATGTTGTGGCTACTGATGAAAGCCTCTTCACAGTTCTGTATAGATATATCTAAACACTGAAAAAGATTAATTTTATATTTGCTGTGTCTCTCGTACATTAATGCAATTATCATCCCATTCCTATGGAGATGGAGCACCAATTCTCCTTGTTTTCTTGCCAGACTATTGGAGATGCACATTCACTTATAGCAGACAGAAACACTGACTGAGGAATGGAGCTTCTCTGTGGGGCTTCATAAGTTTCAGCTCACAACGGCAAAATGTATGGGCTGCATTGAGCACCTGCTGCCTTGAAAGTACCTCATTTAGCTGACCATTTCCTTCTGTATTTTGGATGAGGGAGGTCAGTCAACAAGAAGGAGATAATTGCTTCATAAAATATCTTTTGTTCTTGTGCCCTGTGCAGCATGACATCTGCATCAGCGCACCCAACTGCACTTTTCACATGACAGCAAATCCTGATACTCCCCTTCGAAGAGCATTAAGTCCACAGTAGCCAACTGAATTAACTGATCATATGCTTTGATTCTGAATAAATCTCTGTGCTAGTAATTACACAGATAAGTCTGTTTTCAAGTTATGCTTTACAATCCCAAGATAACAATGCCCAGATCTCAGCAGAAGTCTCCAGGCATGTTATCTGGCTGCTCCACCACTGGTAATTGGAGGTTGGGGATTTTGCAGGTTCCCGATGTTATGTTAAGCAGCCCCAACACTGGCAACGATTACAAGGATACTTCTGCAAATTTACTTGTATCTTCCCAGAACTTAGTGGAAGGTTTTGCTTAAATAGATTCAATCAGTGTGACACGTGTCTATATAGCAACATGTGCCTTCCTCCAGACTTTTTTCATCCTTTTCATTAATCTTTAATGATATAGACTGTTTTATAATATACCGGTTTCCCTGGAGAGTAAAGCAGCACTCTTCTATCTCATTATATTTTGTAGTATTTACTGTCAGTTAAATAACTTTTTCCTGATCCACATATATTTAACTGTCACTACAACTGTCACTAGAACATTATACAGCTCAGTGCCACTGACCTACAAGAACATCACTGCTTTTCCACATAACTTGCTGTATACCCTTAACATCAAGACAACATAACTGTATTTATGCATTCAGCTGCTTTCTCTTTTCAGATTAAAGTCCTAGATGGATTGTAGATGGCTGATGATTGCTTGAAAAGCCGGATGCTGAATATCTGAGAAAGGACAGTGCAGGCATAACACATTCTGCAGTTTTCACACCTACTGAAATTGCTTGGGTTTTTTTCTTTAACAAGTAGATTCATCTGAGGTTAGAACATACTAATATTTGACCCCTTGACTTTCATGAACAAGCACTGAGCTTTCTTTTGGATACCCTGCTGCTCAGAAGTGCAAGTGCACCATTGTCAGCGCGCCTTCAGAGGTGCATCCCAATTCTCATCAGTCTCCTTGTTCTTTCCACTCTCTTCTCAAAGCTTCAATATTTGCTGTTTTTCTGGCTGTTTTCAGAAAAGCCATTATCAGAGCTGCATGGTCTTCACTTCCATTAGTTTCTAAATAGAAACTATTCCCACACCTTTTCAAAAGGGAAACTTTGCAAAGCAGGGGAAAAGTTTGAAGCTTTACACACAGCCCCAACAGCCCCAACCTCAGCTGGGCTTGCCAGGCTGCCACCAGGCAGTCCTGGAGTACAACGCTCCAGGACAAAACATTTCCCAGTGAGCAAACCAGCAGGTGTGAGATTTAATCTGCGGCTTGCCTGCAAACATCTCCAAAGATGCTGAGTGAAAGAGTTCATCAAAGAAAGGCAGCAATTTCACTTTCTTTTGAGATGTGATACAGCATCACCATCTAGAAGATGAAATTTTCTTTGCTTTGTTTTCCTTAATTAAACGTTCCGCATTTTTATAATGTTACTACTGAGTTGTTAATATTTCATCTTTTAATTAGCATGTTACTACAATGTTTTCCCATGACTTAATCCTCCATTAAACCAAATATAAACAGATACGCCAGAACCCTGTCTTAAACTGCATATTCCTAGCTAATTACCAGGGCTGGTAGTCAACTAAGTATTGAATTACAAAATGAAAACATGAAAATAGATATTAATGTAGCTGAGACAGCTAGATTAGCATAACTCATATTACTATATATTACTATAGCATTCACTCAGTCCCACATAAGCACAGTGCTACAATACGAATGACAAATGCACAATTGATCAGAACAGTCTCTGCTATTTAATGCTGTTCAAGTTTCTTTGCTGTTAACCTAGGCAGAGAATTTTATGCACTATTGCTTTGGGTGGTGATCTTTTGCTCTCTTGGAACTCCAACCACCATATATAAGGCATGCAATACACTTAGGAAGGAGAGCTCTTCACTTCAAGCCCTAGCTGAGTTCACTTGCTGTTCAGGGCATGCAAATACAGAGAGGATCTGACCTGGCACAAAATGCAACTACTACGTGTAGACTGTGGCAACAGTGGGTCTGTGTTGCTATGGCCTGGGTGTGGAAGGATAGGTAACTTTCTAAACAAAAGCAACTGTCCTATTTTTGTGATCAGCATACTGTCCTTTGCTAAGAAACTAGTTTTGTGTAACAGCAGAGACCCTCAGAGCTAACGCACAAGCCTTTACCACTGGACTAAACAGGCTGAGTCCTGAACATGGCAGCGGGACAGATGGACTGCCATTCCAAGGGCAGGTATAACACCATAGTGCCTTACCTGTCCTTCATAGAAGCTCAGGGGAAAGTTATTCTTAACCATGGTAATTGAGCAGGATGACACAAAATTAAAATAGTCTTATTACAGGACTTCAGTATGTCCTTAAGGCTTCCCTACCTTTACAACACATCCTAACCTGCCAGATTATAGTAGAAAGTGAAGACTGACAACTTTGTGAAATGTCAAGTTCAGAATTAAAAATTACCTGACACTGTGATCTAATTCTTAAATCCCAAGGGCTGCATATTTCAAGTCCCACATCTGCAGTCTGATTTGCTTTACCCTAGAATTTATCAGGAAAGCTTTGAATAATCTTGCTTTATTTCAGCGGGGAAGAAAAGAGTTAAATATACTTGCTTACTATATTTTTCTTTGTTGTTGTTCTGTATTATTCCCTGGCCTGTAAACCATCCAGAATACACAATCCAATTTGAAGTCCTTTCAATTACACACAACAATGAGCAGGCAAAGGTAGCAATTTACTGTATTTCAGTTCTGAATGTTGCCATTAGCTTTTCTTGTTACAAAGTCAAAGAAACTATGGGCATCAGCAAGACAAACCAGATCTTTCCAGGCCTGTTTTGAGTATGTCAGAGCAGATTCAAACATAACTCTCAAAAAATCTATTGTGTTCCCCAATCACGGGGCTATTCTGGGATTGCTTGTCATCTTATCCAGAAATAAATCAAAAAAGCTTCCAACAGTGAGACCAGTGTGCTACCATAAACCATTTCACTTCAACACACTGCCACTTTCAATGACAAAGGTTTTATGCAGAAGTTCTGATCTTGCTGCTTTCACTGAGAACATCTCCAGTAAGACCTAAAGAGTCTAGTACACTGATTAAGCAAACCAATAAAAGATAAGCTTTAAATACGTTAAAAATTCCTGTTTATTAGAATGGGACAATTCTCAGTTATAAAATCAAGCATACAATTCAGTGCTTCCATCAGCCCCTCATTTAACATGTGCATTCACCTACTAACAAAACGGCAGAATTTCCTAGAATCATTTAGCTTGGAAAAGAGCCTTAATAAAGTCCAACCTAACTTTTAGAAGGGCCAAGTCCACTTCTAAACCATGTCCCTAAGGGCCTCATCTACACACCTTTTAATATCTCCAGGGATGGTGACTCCACCACTTCCCTGGGCAGCCTGTTCCAGTGCTTGATAACCATTTAAGTGAAGAATTTTTTCATAATATCCAATTCAAACCTCCCCTAGCACAGACTGAGGCTGTGTCCTCTTGTCCTGTCACTTGTTACTTGGGAGAAGAGACCAACCCCCATCTCACTACAACCTCCTTTCAGGTACTTGCAGAGAGTGATGTCTCCCCTGAACCTCCTCTTCTCTAGGCTAAACAATTCCAAGTCCCTTAGCTGCTCCTCATAATACTTGTGCTCCAGACCCTGCACGAGCTTCATTGCTCTTCTTCGGACATGCTCCAGCACCTCCATGTCTTTCTTGTTGTGAGGGTCCCAAAACTGAATACAGTATTTGAGGTGTAGTCTCATGAGTGCAGAGTTCAAAGGGATGATCACCTCCTTAGTTCTAGCTGGCCACACCATTTTCAACCACTAACTGCGCGTCCAATCACCCCACTTCTTTAGCACCATGAAGGTTCTTCTGAACTACAAAACTGCATGTGTTTCCTCTTAAATGATGGTACAGTAATAATCTGCAACCAGTCAGAAAGCAAGATGTGAGCAGCAAAGATGACATCGAATAAATACAGAAAAAAAAACAAGGAAGCTCAGCAAATCTGAATTATTTAATATATCTCATATTTAAATTAATAAATTCATTTGTTAATTAGCCATGGCACCAGGCAAAGAAATTAGAGGCATCTCATTAGATGACTGCATCAGAGCGTGTAATTTCTTGGCAAATGCATGTCAAGAAATCACCTCTTGGGGAACCACAGCCATGGGGGGGTTACTTCAGACACTTCAGACACAACAGGAGTCAATGCACTGTATGAGGATGTCATAATCTTTCAGGGTACTCACCTCCACTATGCTTGGGTGAAGCAGCACACTATTTATTATACACATATAAAGAAAATAAAGACCAGAGACTAAGAGAAACTGTGATTTGTTCAAATGTACACAAAGAGCCTGTGTCAGTCAGCCCCCAGACACAGCTCCTCCAGGCTAAAAGTACTTTTCTAAGTATCAGATCAGGCAACTACCACTTCCTTGGTGCATCTGAAATCAGTGACAAGTGTACTTGGTACCTGCTGTGAAGAGTATTAGTATCCCAGCAACAATTCCAGACACCCTACATCTGTAAGTCTTTACCAACTTGGTCCAGGACAAAGCATACTAGTTATTGTAATTGCAGAGGTCTCTGAAAATGCCTTCAAGAGTAGGTATTGCAACAGCACTAGTAAATGCATAGAGGTTAAGATAGCTTCTGAAAAGGAACAATATCTTGATCAGCTTTAAACAATATAGGTTTTTTTTTCATAATACTGGGAACACTGGTCATCAAAGGGTACTCCCCTATGTCATTATGTTTACTGAGGAAAAAGGACTGTTTCTGAAAATGATTCAGAGCAGGGTATGAACTAAGGTTTTCTCACAGGTGCTTTATTCCAGATGAGCTGTTTAGGTAGTGTAGTGCACTCTTATTCTTAACTTCTATGCAAATACTCAACTGTGACCCAGGATTAAGAGTCCCACTGATGAAAGCAGACCACCAGGGCACAACTCCAGTCTCCTGCCCACACCCACAACCATGCCTTTGGAGTCCCAGGACATCCACAGTGCTGAAAAGACAAAACAATTACATACCTGTCATTCCCAGACATCCCATCTCTTTTTGAAGCCAAAGATTATCTTTAATTACCTAAATACAGAAGAGAAGAATTATAAGAAAAAAAATGTTTTGATAAATGTATAATATTGAACTCTTACACTGAATTTATGCATCACTACTAGACAGAACTTTATTCCACAAAGCCTTGAGTTTCACAAAATTAACTATGAGAAGAGAGATACAGCATGGCTTTAGAGGTCTCACACAGCTACGTTAAGCAGTCTAAGGCTCAGTTGTCTCCCACTATGGCTATACACACTGGGGGCTCAAACCGTACTTACATTTCATATTATCAGGCTGAGCAGAAGGGTTTGCTCTTAGTTTGTACTTGTAAAATAACCTTTCCAAAGACAGATTTGAGGACAGGGGAAAATGCCATCACTCGCAGTCAGCAGGAATGTGTCCATCACAAGTCTACTGATGTTATGCGCATTTTTCCTTTGGAGTATTACACAGAGCCTTTCAAAAATACAATGGGCGAAAAACTGCAGCTTATGAGGCAATATGCGATAGCCTCCCGCCTGCACAGCCAAGAGATTGCTACAGAAATCACAGCTTTAAAAAATCAGTAGGAGAAACCTGCATTTTTAAGGATTGTTAATGCCCAGTGTTTTGATCAAGAGCTAGTAATCATGCAAGCAAGTTTTCATTTAACAAAAATACTTCCTAGTAGGAAATAATACAGAGTTAGGAATGTCAGCTGATTAACAGCAATCTTGTAAATTCGCTGAATGACATGACCTGCACTTGCTCTTTCTGTTTACTCCCAAGCACTACATGTGAGTAATGTTAAGTACTGACTTATGTCAACACCACTGTTACAGTACAGCAAGTTAGGGGCAATTTTCTTCTTTGCCTGCTCAGGGAAGGGAAGCCGTCAGTTTGATTACTGCTAGAGCTATATGTTTAGTTAACCTTATGTGAAAATAGTTCTCACTTCAGAGAGGGGACTTTGCCTCAAAATAACAGAAAATGCAAGACATCTCACAAATTTGGATGCACCAGGAGCCCTGAGTTTTGAGCACTCTGGAATACAAGTACATGGGGATTTGAGGCAGCTCTCGCGGAGGAGAAACGAAGGACAGAGGAACAAACACAGGTGGGAACATGCAGCACACCCTGAGCAGCCAGAAGACACAGCTCTGGGAGACCCCAGGAGCTATTTCCAAATACCTAGTTGTACGCCGAAGTTCTCCAATGCTATTAGAAATTTCTTCTCATTAGTTAAACAATCTGTATGACCCGTAATTTTGAGTAGCCAAGCACCTCAAGAACACAGAAAGATAAGAACAGGAAACTCAGTGGCAAACTTTCACAAAAAATTGGCTATTGGATACATATACATATACATATATACATATTTCCATTTATGATATGGATATGCAGCAATAGAAATCACGTTAAAAGGCAATTCAGCTTTGCCAGGTATTTCTAGAGCAGTCTAGAGCCCCAGCTCCATCAAGAAAATGTGTACTAGTACACTAAATGGATGTCATGACACAAGTTTAAAACACTGGTGAAAATATAAAGCACCAATACAACGGTCTATTATGTTAAATGTTGAAATAAATCTTGTTTATAAATACAAATCTCAAATATTACCCTCATGCACATCAGCATATACATGAATGTGAATGTTAAACGTCAACAGCCCCTTTGTAAATGATCCTAACAAGAGAGTGGCCTAAGCATGCATAAAGGCTTACAGAAAATGTGAACTGCTATCTAACAAGCTTTACTTCTTACTTCCTAGGTTATCAGTGTACAAATGGCTCCTGATAGAGTCCAGGCATTCATTCATCTGTGGTTTTACAACTGCTCATGCACAAGATTTAGTGTGTTTGTGTATCCATGTCAGTCAACTAGAAATGGCATTACAGCATTCCTTGTTTTTTTCTTCTGCCTTATCAGACATTCAGTTCTCCGTAGTCTGCACTGCAAAATATTGTCTGGATGTTCAGCACGATTCTTCGACTCTGCTGCAGTGTATCGGTAACAGCAGAGGGCATTACAAGGGGCTCTGCATTGGCAAGTAGAGCCAATTCTACAGGCCAGCACTCATGCCATGCTTCAAAAGTAGTTACTTCAATGCAGTAATATTGCCAGCGGACAATTTAAATGAAGTTTTAAATGAATTTGTTTTTTCTGGTGGAAGGATCTGTTTGGTGGAAAGGTGGTTTGTTTGTTTTGGTTGGTTTTGTTTTTTTCACTTTCCTGCAAACCTATTTCCTGCTGATTAGACTTTTTGTAACCACACCACAAACTATTGTTTGTGACTCCCTCCATTCCCCACCGCCACCTCGGGTACTCTCCACGTTGGGTAGAAGAAACCGTGTTGACACATTCTGAGGCGGCTTGACAGATACCTAGCTAAGTAAGGAGAAAGGATGAAAACCAAAAGCAGTATTTTAAACGGCTGGTGGCACTCCTACCAGCGGGCTGGGATCAGCGGGTAAAGGTGCTGTGACGAGGTAACGAAGCGAGGCCATTGCCAGCATGCGGCACATCACAGCGGGCCCCGGCAAGCCGAGCCCTGGCCACGGCTCTGCCACACACCGCTGCCCCTGCGTCCTCAGATCGGGCCTCTCCTCCGCCCGCCACCATCCGCCCTGGGCCCGCGGATCCGCCCCGCTGAGGGCTGACCCACCACCGCGCAGCGCCCCGCGGCCACACCGCCTTACCGCAGCCGCCGTCTGAGCGCAGGGGTCCCGGGGCGGGCCCAGCACCCCGGCCCCTTCCTCGGGGCTCGGCGAGGCCCGGGCGCGCTCGGTGGCCGCTGCGAGGGGCTGGGCGGGCACGGAGGGCCCGACGGGGAGCACCGCCAGCAGCAGGCTGGCCAGCAGCCTTCGCATGGCAGCGGGCAGCTCCTCCGCGGGCACGTAGGTCGCTCCAGCGCTTTGCAGGCGCTGCCCCCGAGCCAGGCCTGGCCTCAGCCTCCGCAATCACCCGCCATCGGTCTCCTCCCACCGCGGCGAGGACGGGGGGCGGGCGGCGGAGGGGCCCTAAGCAGCAGGACCTCCCTCTGCTGTTTGCGGGCCGGGCCGGGCCGGGCCGGGCCGGGCCCTATGGCGGCGGCCGGGGGCTGCGTACGAGCGGTGGGGCTGCAGTTCTGGGCTCACTCGCTACAGACGCTGTCCGCCCTGCTGGCCCCCGCCGTCCTGCTGGGGCTATTGCTGGGCGCCACCGCTGCCGCCCTGCTCTGCCGCTACGCGCTCGGGCAGCGCCGGCGGAGAGAGGTACGCGGGGCCGGCGGGCGGTGGGCTTGCAGCCGTCCCACGCCGCTGCCCTCCGCCGCGGGGGGGGGGGGCTCGACCTGTACCAGGGTGAACAGCTCGGAGGGGTCGGTTTTGTGAGGGGAGACGACCCCTCCGTATTTTCCGCGAGGCCCGGGGGTACTGCTGGCTCGGCCCGTCCCGCCGCTCGGAACAGCCGGGGCTGGGCCGCAGGTCCCGGGGAGCCCTGGGGCGCTGGGCGAGAGGCGCGGCCGGGTCAGGCCTCCAGGGCGGCGTTGGGGTGAGCTCGGCGGGAGGTAATTCCTGACCTGACACTTCTGCTGGCAAGGGTGTTACTACTTTCTGCATCAATTTACTGGAACAAACGGGCTAACTCAAAAGAGAGGCTGGTGAAGTATATGTGTCCTGAATGTTGCCCTGCTGGCCTGTATCTTTAACGTGGGTGGCCCACTAACCGCGTCTCTCATCACTTGTACTGTGCTGCTGTGAGGGGATAATGGAAGATGTGCCTGGCTTGTAGAAACTTGGTGAGGTAACTGAAAATAACCAGAAATTTCTGCCCTAAACCAGTAAGAACAATCCGATTCCCAAAGTAGTTAACAAACTTGTCCAAAGTTCCTTTTACAGACATCACAACCAGAGAATTAGTACTAGCTCACAGCAGTACCTTTGCACTGAGGGAACACACATAAATACCTGAGAGATAAAAGAGGCAGAACACATCTGACAGTACTAACAGGGTTTTTAAAGTGTCTGGTTTTGTTAATAACATAGCTGCCTTCGTGTTTTAAGGACTGTGGTGAATAGTTCGTATCTCTCTATTACAAGAACTGAGTGTTTGGACTTGAAGATTGCAGTGGCAGCACATACCTGCAGAACACTACCAGGCAGATATATTTTCTGAGAATTGTTACTGACTTACGCTTCTTTCCCCCATCGCATTTAGTCCCAGGTCATGCTACTGTATCATTGGCCGGATGTGGTAGCAGTGGTTGACAGTGGTGCAGCTGGGAAATTTGGAGCCCTGTGAAACATTCTGCCAGCCTGCGGTGGGGTGCCTGGTTTGACTTGGGTTTTAACCACATTTATTTTTTAGCTGTAACATCTCTGCTGTGTGTGCATATCTGCTAGTGTTGGTTGTCATTAAACGTGACATAAGAGAAAAATCCTTTGCTCCCAACTGCTTTTAAGTAGGAGGTTCGAAACTCCGTTTGAAGCCATGATTTAGCCTAGTAATGGAGGCACTTCAAATGCTGGATCAATGCACCCTGTGCGAGTGCAAGCCTCTCTGATTCAATTGCTCAGCTTCCCTGCCTTAATAGGTGGTATCTTTATTGTACTGTCACTACCAACTCAAATATAGCTATGTGCAATTTTACCCTTTATGTCATTTATGTCAATAGGGAATAGAAACTGACAGTTCTCTCTGGCCCAGATCTTCAGATGGATTTAGGTACTTAAATGCCATTAAAATCAATGCTGCAGCTGTGAAAGAGTTGTTTATTTTGAAAGAAAAAATAAACTGTTGGCTGGGGCACATGGAGCAGTGGACAGGTTGTATCCTATAGGCTGTCTGTGCCTGTTCCTTCTTTGTAGTGCCTGCCCCACCAATGGGGCAGGTGTGTTGTATGAATAGCAAGTACTGAACTGCACATATTACAGCCTTCTGTATCCACAGTAAAAGCAGAGATACCTAAGTTTGCCATGTAGCTTCCCAGGCAGCTGAGTTGTCCTTGCAATAGGATCAGGGCAAGTACCTGGAATCTGAAGCAGCCATATGTACTGTGATAAACTGCCAGCATTTGTCACTCAGCCCCAGTTAATCACTGTTCTGTCAATCTCAGCCTGAATCTGTGGGACTTGGATGCTTGCAGGTAAGTGCCTTACGGGTTTCTTCATCTGTGCATAGGATGTACTGGGGTAGTTTTAAGAAACTTCAGACTGCGTAGTGGATGGCACTACATTTCTATCAATATTCTCCATTTAGAGTATGCCATTGCCTGAAGGTTCTTTGTAGTAGGTTAGCTTGCAACTGCTTGTTGCAGTAATTACAATTAGACTTATTTTTCTTCAGTTTCTTAATGCTCAGTAGCACTTCAGTTGCAAAAATAACAGGACAAAAACAAATGGAGAGGAAGGTGATGAGATATGTTAAAAAGAAATTAATCCTGGAAAACGTCAAATATTTTTTAAATTATACTGTTGGAGATAAAGGAGTGAAAATGAATGCTAGATGAATATGAACTGTTGAAGAAACAGGCTGAGAAAAGCAAACTCTTCTTTTGGAGTGGCTGTAGTGTGAGATGCATTGAAGAGGGCCACAAGGATGATCAGGGGACTGGAGCACCTCCCATATGAATATAGGCTGAGAAAGTTGGGGCTGTTCAGCCTGGAGAAGAGAAGGCTGCGTGGAGACCTCATAGCAGCCTTTCAGTATCTGAAGTGGGGCTTCCCCCACTGGGGAGGGACTCTTCATTAGTAGTGACAGGACAAGGGGTAACGGGTTCAAACTTAAACAGGGGAAGTTTAGATTGGGTATAAGGAAGAAATTCTTTCCTGTGAGAGTGGTGAGGCACTGGAATGAGTTGCCCAAGGAAGCTGTGAATGCTCCATCCCTGGCAGTGTTCAAGGCCAGGTTGGACAGAGCCTTCCTTGGGTGACATGGTTTAGTGTGAGGTGTCCCTCACATGTCCCTGCCCACGGCAGGGGAGGTGGAACTAGATGATCTTAAGGTCCTTTCCAACCCAAACTATTCTATGATTCTTTGATGAACTCAACGTGGCTACGTCCTCAAGTCCTGATCTCTTAACCTAGATTTGGTGAACTTCTGGTTTGAGAAAAATGAGTGACAAGATTGCTGGGGGAGACCTGTAGCTGTTCTTTTGTCATAAGTAGATTTTTAGTAACCAGCATCTGCATTTCAGCATATTGTACAGGCTAACTCAAGAATATGATCTGTATTGTTGAGAATCCTAAGTTCCAAGAGGTGTATTTAAGGTTGTGGACCTCTCTATATTCTGAGAAAATTGACTACTTTTTATGGCCAAATGGCCAAATAATTCAAGGAGAATCTTTCCACAAGACAGTTACATGCATAGTGGCCGCAGCCATATCATTAGTCTGTATCAAAAATCAGACAGTGGGTTGAAAGACTGAAAAATAATTTTAAAAGTAGTTGAGGTAGGGTGGCTGCCATCTTTTCCTTCACTAAATAATTCCTTGCAATGTTGTATTTGGATGCATTGACTAACGTGAGCACTATTTTTGGGTCTAAGTAGTGCACAGGGAAGAGCATGTGCAGCAGGAGGTTTTGTTCTTGCACAGTCTGTGTCTGTACTAGCAGCTCTGTGTGTTTGTTAGGGAAGTAAAGGCCAATGTTACAGGCTGGTGTTGGAGAAGGAAGATGGTGAACATTTCTGATAGTTAATTGTCCCTGACAGAAATTTTCCCACAAATAAAACTTCATTTAGGAAGTTTTTCTCATAGCAGCAGAGCAAAAAATCTCAATGTTCTCTTCATTGGAGGCAATTATAGGCAATTTTAGTTAACACGTTTGACTTGAGAAGTTTGAACTTGGACTGTGAGCCCACTGCCATAGTCTGTAGTAAGATGCTTTGAGAGCAGATGGATTGATTTGACACTTGCACAGCCTTTTGCACCTTTTCAGATTAAAATTCTGCTTCTGGACTGAAAAATTCATGAAGTTCATTAATTTTAATTATTCCTTCCTGAATATGTAAAATTCTTGCTCATTTTCAGATTTTGTTTTTCCAAAATTTCCAACTGATACTGAAATAATTTTCAGGATAGAGACATGGATATGTTCAGACTGCTGTCAAAGATATTTCCACTGAATTGGTATGATTTCAGTATTATATTTTATCTGTTTTCTCTCAAAATTTCAGAGGGATGATTCCCAGAGACTTCTGGAAAGCTTCAGCTCTAATGAAAGAGAGCACACACTCACGAAAAGTAAAGCAGAACCCTGTATATCAGAGGAGGAAATGGTGCTGGAGGTAAAGCTCTGTTTTTCTTGGTGACTGTCCATTTTGCTGCATGTAGCAGTGATCACTTTCAGAGCCTGGTTCAAGCTATCTTAATTTTGTTGTGTTTGGAATTGTGCTTTTAAAAAGTGTTTAGAAAAAGTGTCAGAAGGGGTGGGAGCTGATGGCTGCTTATGAATGCAACCATTTCAGGTATTCATTCCCGTTATTAATGCCTTTTCTCTAAGGGGACTTTTGACATTCTATATTTTAATTGAGTTCTGGAATTCTTTTTGGATGGAGGCTTGTTTGGTTTTGTCTCTGCGTTGTCCTTAATTTCAAAAGGCTGATGGGAAAAGAACACTGTCAACGTAAGAAAAGGTTCTTAAGTACTGAAATCAGTGCTGATAGTTGATCCTGGATTCTTCCCTGGGGAAGTAGATTTATTACAGAATTTTGACATTAATGAAGTTCGCCCGTCAGGTTCAATTTGGAACAAATACATTTTTTCTAGAGCCTTCTTAGAGTCTTCAACTTTCAGTTGGACTGAGTAGACCAATGGAGGAAGAAAGAATAAATGAAGTAAAATGAGTGTGTTTGCAAGCAGCAACATCTTCAGTGGCTTTCTTAGAGAGGAAGTTCCCTTGTCAGGTACCAGCTGGAGATACAGTGCAGAGTTCAAATGACCACAACTACTGAAACACCACTGTGGTGAGCTGGGATTCAAAGACAATTAGAGAAACCATTTGGAAAGAAAAGTAGAAGGTATATACTTAACCCGTCCTCAATCAAAAATTCAAATTTATTTTTTTTATATAATTGCAAAATACCTTGAGAACCAGTTCTACTGTGTAGCTGTTAGATCACTGCCTTTCACCCAAATCTGATTTGATTTCTCTTTGTGAAGCTGAAGTCTGTTATATATACTTTAAATGCATGCAGAAAGTGTCAACTAAAGCCAGCCAGTCTGGTGCTTAGCTTGTAGCGAGAACTGTTTTCAAGACAAAGAGAAAATAGCCACTATTGTAAACATTTTACTGTTGTTTTAAATCCTGATATGTAATTAATCTTCATTTCAGTTTTGTGATTGGGAATGGTGACAAAACCATGGTTGGTCATTTTACTTGAGTCAAAGTAAGGCATAACAAGCGAGCATGAATTAAATCCTCTTTTGGAGTGTAAATCCTGTGGGAGAACTTGTGCAGTGATAGAACTTTGTGTCTTTTTGAAATGGGATCATGGTCTTTTAAATGACAACTATATCCATTTCCCAAAACCGTTACTTCATTTATAACACATTAAGAAGGAACTTTGTTATTTTGAAGGGACTTAATCCGACCTATTTGTCTAACTACTGAAGTTTGGGTTTTTTTTTTCTCTATTAATTTGTTCCAATTCCCAGAGACTTTTGCTGTTTCTAGCATCACGTTGACAATTCATGAAGAAGCATAGATGGAAAACGCTTTTAGTTAGGATCAGAAAAACAGGTATTTTCATTCTGAGACCTTTCACATTGCAATAATACCATAATTACCATATTAATAATACATGGGTATTACCTATGCCTACTGAGAAGCAGGTTGTATTAGTTCTAGCACATTTCAGTGCAGCTTTGGGGCTTTGGACTGAAGCTGCTCTGCCTCCAGCCATTGCAGAGCAATAGCTTTGTTGGCTTCTGTCCCTGAATATGTACCATGGCCGTGGGACTACTCAGAATAAGTTGATGTTTTACATGCTGACCCCATGCTTCTAACTTTATCAGTAAATCCAAACATTACTTCTGGAAATAAATGAAATAAAGATGAAAAAGGTGCAATGATGGAAGTCCAATGAATGATGCAATTTGTTCTTCTCTTCCCATTCCTATTTTGTAAACTCTGTTAGTGCTTTGATATTTCCTGGAAAAAATCTATATAAAGTAAATTGTGTTTTGATGAATCAGATTCTTTCATTTAATGTGACAAACCCAGAGAAGTTGGAATAGGAAATCTCCTAAAGCTTGGATTTAAACATTCAGTCTGTTACTTACAGCCAACCTTTTATTAAGCCATGGATAACCTTGCAAAACAGTGCTGATTATCCCATTGTTCCAGTGCATAAAGCACTAGCTAGGAAAGAGGAGAAGCAGAAAGTCAGATTACATAATATAGCAGATTGTATGAAAAGAATGCATTATCTGTAAAAAGTTCTTTGGTATTTTCTGTAGTTTATAGGTAAGGGTTGTACTATAAAAGTTCTTCCAGGAAAAATGATGACTAGTTTTATTTAATCTATTGCTTCTTTATTTAAATTGAAAGACAGGATTTATAGCCATGGTGATATCTGTGGAGCTTATCGTTTAGTAGTTTCTATTAAGATAATATCAGCCTCTTGTGAAATCTTTAGTTGCTGCTAAATAGGGGAAGGGGGAGCAAAATGAAAATAACTTGTAAATAACAGCTATTGCATATTATCCGTTGCAGGAGTTTTGGAGCAGTGGTAATGACAAGAGTTCCCTTTTCTTGGTTTCATATGCAGAATGAGTCTTATGAGGAGGCTTCTTGAGCCAAAGCAGAAACAGTCAATAAATAGTTAGCAATAGGAATTTAGAAGTTGTGTATCCAAAAGGGGCATGCAATGCTTGCGGTAAACAACCATCAGATCTGCTGCTGTTCCCAATGGTTTTCTGTTCTTTTCCATACAGGAAAGTGAGTCTCCTCTGAGCAGTAATGTCACGGCATTTGCATTAAAGGCAAAAGTGATCTATCCCATCAATCAGAAATTTAGGGTAAGGTTTTAGATTTTACTTGTAAAAATTGATGACAGTCATTCCGTTTCAGAGTAAATTGCGGAGTCAAGTAATGGAAGAAAACTTACTGCCAGTCTGCATAACAGAGATCTTTCTCTGTTTAGAGTCCATTGACTGAGGGCTTATTCTGTAAGGTATATCTTTTCAGCTCCCCGACACATGCAGTGCTTCACATGATGTCTGGTCAATTTTCACTGTAGTCAAGAGCCCTTTTCTTCTCACTAACATTAACCATGTCTTCCCTTGGAAGTTGGGTCTGTTCAAGAAACCACAGGAAAACCTCACAAGGATTTGTTCTTTAGTAAGAAAGCATGCACCAAGCCAATAATCACAGCAGAAGAGTGCTTTTCTGGGCAATGCAGAAACCTGTCAGTATGATGAATCTTAATTTATGTGGAAACACTTTTGCTGTGTATATTGTTTAATTTTTCCCGTGAAGGCAAACACTGCAAAATTGATTTCCTTATTGTGTTATATTAATTGACCTTGTGAATTTTCTTTGACTGTAGCCTTTGGCAGATGGCTCATCCAATCCATCTTTGCATGAGAATCCAAAGCAAGCGGTTCTACCTAATCAGGTTGTGGAGACATCTACATCAGGCAGCCTGGGATCCCTGAGCCAGGGAGACAAAGAGGACTGCAGTTCCTCCACAACAATACATTCCACAACAAGCGATGACAGATTTCAGGCTCGAGCCTTCCTCAAGGTGACCAGCTTCCCTGAAGTGCTAACATGTGAGAGGTAAGCAGTAAACGTGCCCTCTTGTTTGGTCATTTCCTAGTGTTCCCCAACAATCATTAAAGGCCTGGTGTAAACCAAAGGCTGGTGTATTCACCATATCAAGAGAGGATTACCTGCTTATAAGCCTAAAAGTGGTTGAGAAGATTAAAGTAATAGATCATGCTGCACATAGAAAGTCAGTTTGTTCTTTACAGAATTCTGGGAATTGGAACTTTGGCAAAAGCTGTCTTGTAAAAGGTGTATCACTGTAGGATAAGGAGATCCCTTTGTTTTGGCTCATATGCTCAGTTCACAAGTGCGGTGGCATGCTAGACTGACGATGGAGTCCTCTGCACAGTACAGCAGAGGTGTGTTGAAAACAGCAAGTGGCAAGGGTCTGTCCCCTGTCTTAATAGGAGCTACTCGTGTTTTATTGTGGGAAAAGAGTTCCTTTCTCAGGCATGCCACTGACGAGTGGGTAGAGCTAGTCAAAATGGACTGTCAGCTCTGATTTTCTTTCAGCTACCCTATGACAAAATATCCCTAGATGAATACGTAAGTGTCTGCATTCTCATTAGCAAGAACAAAGAAAATCATATTTGTGTCACTGTGGGGACTGGGGAAGGCACTAGTGATGAAGAGTATTTTCAAAATTTATACTCATTATAGCTGTTTTAATTTAAAGCCTTGGTGTAGCCACTCATGCCTATATTTACCCTGCCTTTTTCTAAAGGGAACTGCAACTCCAACTTTGTTAAAAGCTCTGCTTTGTTTTGCTTACTTTTATATAGAGATACATTACGTGAAAGAGAAGGCAATGTGGAAGTGACTTGACTGCTGTTTTCGGGCAATGCTTTTAGGAGACTTTAGTGGTTAAATGAAACTATTATATGGCGTTGTCCTTCTGTGTAACCTTCATTTAGATTGGTATTAACACTTTTTTAATCTTTGTTTTAGTTTTGATGTTAAGCTCTGCCTTTGCAGTCTTACTTTAAAAGACCTCATGCTTCTTGATACTGAACTAAGAAAAGAAAAGCATGTGGTAGGTACTCATTTCTTATAGCTGTTTGTTTTGAACATCTTAGTTGAATATCAGTTTAAGGAAATAACATAAACAACTGGCTAGCTGGGAAGTAGTGTAGCGAAGTTGCATTTCTACAGTATTGTCTTTATTTTTTCTCCTGTTCTGCATATAATGTGAGCTTCCTAAAAGAATAAAATATAATTAAATATACTGGGCTGTGAAATACAGAGGGTCAGACTGGATAATATAAAAAATCGGTTGTAAACTTTATGCCAGAGAATTAACATACAGCACTTGAGGTTCATGAAAAGAGGGGGAAAATTACTTAATAGATGAGTTTATGTCTCAAGGACAATGCTTTTGACATTCTGACACTGCGATTCCAAGGACTCCAAAGTCTTTGAGTAAATTGAAAATCTGGTTCAGCTGAAACAATATCATTGTGATAAGTACAATAGTCATTATTTTGTAGGACTGAAGAATTAAAGTACCCATTTAAACCATAGATAGCTACCTACATCAAGTCACAGCATTCAAAGCAAAAAAAAAAACCAAACCCACAAAACAAACCAAAAATGGATGTATGCAATTAAAGCCACAGAATACTGTTAGAATTGTTTATGGTGACTAGTTATGGACAAGGACAGAATCATTACCACTACTGAGTTTTAGCCTAGTTAATATAAATCTTGACATAAAGTATATAGCTTTCTCCTCCCCTTCTTTCACAATCTCTGTTTGAACAGATTGATCATTTCTGACATAATTTATTAAATGTACTAAGAGTATTTCAAAGGGTGGGATTTTCAACACAATCCGAAAGAAGCAGCATGAAAGTAAACTTGGAACACAGCTTCTCTTCTGGTGAGTTATTCCCAACTAAGTAAATGAGAAAGTGAACTTGAGATCAGATTCCAGAAGGAAGTTTAGCTTTACTAGGGAAGGTTGAACTTGATCTGGAAGTTAATCATCAATTTGTAAACAAAGGTGAAGTCACAACATGGTGATGTAATCGCAGAAACACTGAGAAAACGAGCATTTAACACACTCATAGCCCACCAGAAATTGCAACAAAAGGCAGATGACTTTGACCTGTAGCTGAAGCTTTGAATAGCTTTATGTTTTTGCTAGCATGGAAAAGGGCAAAAAAATTTCAGTCCAGAGAATAGTTTCTTCCTTTCCCACTTTCCTTTCTCTGATTTCAGTCAGTCTTTCTTAGCATCATGTCTAGAAAAAAGAAATTTGTCCTCCAGTCTTTTCCTGAATCCTTTTTTGGTTTTGTATTTGTCTTTTTTATAGTGTGTGCTATCTTGGTTGTGTATGCTCAGACTTGTCAAACTCCTATCCAAAACATTGGCAAATGTGATCCAAAACACAGCTGCTTTATGGTTTTCTCTTCTACTGAGCTCAAATGATAACATATTTTCCAGCTTTTGCTCAGCTGAAATACTGGCTTTGATAACTGGTTTTATATGTAAATATGATTTTATTTATGTTTTTATATGGTTAAAATGGGCAACTTCTGTATCATCTGTTTTCAAGTACATGAATAACAGGCAGGTGGCTGTTGAATTTCACGTATTTTTATCTTCACATTGGAAATTCCTGCAGCAGTTAGTTATGAAGTGAGTTGTCTTTACACTGACACTCTTAACTGAGGCTGGAGAGAAGAGGTTATACAGAAATTATCCCAGCATTCAAAAATATCTTTTTGAAGATACTAGTATTACAGTCTTTTAATATATATATATATAAGGATCACAGCTGGAAAATGGATGTATATTTTTGTAAGAGAATGTAGCTAGAACTTGAGATGGTTACTTTTGGGTGGTACATAAAAATGTTGATACTTTTGGCCAACTACAGTTGAAATCATGGTAACCTTAACTATTCTGTGATTCTATAATGAACATGTTAGTATCTTCCAGTTTAGAAAAATGGACATTATATATTCAAGTGATCTCCATTTTCTCCAAGAAAGGATTGTTTCAAATGTGTCAGTTTGGCTAAAAGTTTATATGAGATTATGTCCTTGTCCTTGTTAGAATGTAACACCATCTTCCTCTATTTTACTGAAGCCAGAGCCAAAGAATTTTTCACAATGGAAGTACAGCAGAGTTGCTGATAATGCTTCTGTTATTTTGCTTATGATTCACTATAGTCTTACTGATTGATTTACATCAATCAGTAAGCCGGCTCAGTGTTCGGCTGGAGACCAGTAACAAGTGGCGTCCCTCAGGGATTGGTGTTGGGACCAGTCTTGTTTAACACCTTCGTCGCTGACATGGACAGTGGGATTGAGTGTGCTCTCAGCAAGTTTGCCGATGACATCAAGCTGTGTGGTTCAGTTGATACCCTGGAGGGAAGGAATGCCATCCAGAGGGACCTTGAAATGCTTGTGATGAGGCTGATGAACCTCATGAAGTTCAACCATGACAAGTGCAAGGTCCTACACCTGGGTCAGAGCAATCCCAGGCACAGCTACAGGTTGGGCAGAGAAGAGATTCAGAGCAGCCCTGTGGAGAAGGACTTGGGGGTGTTGGATGATGAGAAAATGAACATGGGACGGCTTCAGTGTGCGCTTGCAGCCCAGAAAGCCAACCGTATCCTGGGCTGCATCAAAAGGAGCGTGACCAGCAGGTCGAAGGAGGTGATCCTGCCCCTCTACTCTGCTCTTGTGAGACCTCACCTGGAGTATTGTGTGCAGTTCTGGCATCCTCAACATAAAAAGGGCATGGAACTGTTGGGACAAGTCCAGAGAAGGGCCACGAGGATGATCAGGGGACTGGAGCACCTCCCGTATGAAGACAGGCTGAGGAAGTTGGCGCTGTTCAGCCTAGAGAAGAGAAGGCTGCGTGGAGACCTCATAGCAGCCTTCCAGGATCTGAAGGGGGCCTATAGGGATGCTGGGGAGCGACTCTTCATTAGAGAATGTAGTGATAGGACAAGGGGTAACGGGTTAAAACTTAAACAGGGGAAGTTTAGATTGGATATAAGAAGGAAATTCTTTCCTGTTAGGGTGGTGAGGCACTGGAATGGGTTGCCCAAGGAAGTTGTGAATGCTCCATCCCTGGCAGTGTTCAAGACCAGGCTGGACGAGGCCTTGGGTGATATGATTTAGCGTAAGGTGTCCCTGCCCACGGCAGGGGGTTTGGAACTTGATGATCTTAAGGTCCTTTCCAACCCTAGTTATTCTATGATTCTATGAAATGAACAAGAGTTATCACAAAAATGTCCTTATGATGTTGAACAGGCTCTTACCCTGAGTTTTGTTTCCTTCCTTTTAATTAGATGGTTATTCAGATTCTCAAAATACACGTTACAGACTTTTATCATAAAAAGAAGATTACTGATGATTTTTTCCAGAAGATCCTTTTAATTCAAGAAAAAGTAAGTGATTTTGTTGGTTATGACTTAGGAACACAGAAAATAAGAGTTAATCCCACCATTTGGTGCAAGCTGCCACAGCAGGCTGTCTCACCTGCTCCTTTTTAACAGCAATGTAATTTGTAATCTTTTTCAGAAGAAATGCAAAGAAGCTCCCTTGTTGGTCGATTCTCTCCATTACTTTGTATGCATTTCCTCTTTGTTATTGTATGAGGTCATCAGGATGGTGATGTGTGTAATCTGTTAAGGATAGAAGTATTTTGTAGTTGAATCCATTCAAGCAAACAGAACATTATGAACCTTATTCACTCAGATTTAATAATCTCTAATTATCAAGTCTTTGTCTGGTCCTATGTGTCATTACTGATAATAAAATAGCAGGAAATAGAAGTACCAGAAAGAAACTCAAGGCTTTCATCAAGCAAAAATGTATTTTTTTTCCTTATTGTCCTTTTTCCTTCCACATACTTGTATTAAAATCCATATGCTACTTCTGAACTAGAAGACATACATTGACAGTCAAACTGCATTTGAAGTGGAGTGACAGTACTATTTTGAAGATTATTACAAAGAAAAAAAAACAACTTTTACAAAACTAAACAAAATAGGAGAGTTATTGGTTCCACTTTCTATTTTCCAAATTAGAGGCAGAGGAAAGTTTGTGTTGAAGGAGACTCCACCATTTCTAAGGGCCTAGTCTAATACTCAATTTTTTCACAGTAATGACAATTTTTTTTCTTACATAGGGATAGAATTCCACATTTAGGCATGAGCCTATCAGCTTGTCAACTCTAGTTGTTGAGATTTATTTTGCTTGTGCAGTCTCATAATCTGTGAGTTAATATCAGGAATCTCTGTAGTTGTATCTTATCTCAGAATGCATTTTGCCTAAAAACCAGTCTTCTGACTTAAATCCTCAGTTTTAGTATTAAAGTTGATTGTATTTACTAAATGAAAAATGAGGTTTGGTGTGCAAATCCCTTTTCCTTCTGGTAATGACTTGTAAACAGAGGTAATACAGATCAGACATGTTTTCCAGTATAGCCTAACCCTCAGTTGGCGTGGATGGCACCAGTATCTTCATACATCTGACTGAGCTGCTGCAAGGCAAAAACTAAATTTTTTTAGTTTTTTTTTAGTTTTAGTTTTTTAGGTTTTTTGTCATGTTTGTTAGATGCAGTAATTTATCGAGTAGTCCAGTTGTTTAAGTGTCAATATGGGATTCCTGTGTCCTATACTATGAAGAGAAAGGTCTTGGAAACATGACAGCCTTTGAGCTGGGATATCATATAAGCAGCAAGGCTGGTTATAAAAATACTGTGTAAAAGAGACATTGGTAATAAGCAAACACAGTGACACTGGAAATTATTTAATGTAATACTACACTGGAAACTTGAAAGGTTTTATAATCTATTGCAGAGAGCATTTTCCTCTTTTTATTCTGCATTGTTAAGAAAAAATCATGAGATTTTGATGAAATTGTTTGTGAAGCTTGTCAAAATCTGGTCACATTTCTTTAAGGTATAAGGTTATCAAGTTAATGCATTGACACCCAAAATTGGGTGGTATTAAAAGTAAATATTTGTTATGTAAGGCATGTTTCAGCAACTGAAGAATTATCCATTTGAGTACTAACCTACTAGATAATGCAGAAGACTACTATATGTCAGTATCATTAGCTTTCAGAACAAGTCATCCTGATTTCAAAGAATTTTACAAACCTGTATAATCAGGTAGCCTGTAATTTGTCCCTTATGAGCATTACAGGTGTATTCATCCCTGTGTGCTAGCACTGCAGAAAACACTATCTGATGATCATATCTGGATGCTGTCTGTGGTTTTCAACAGTGTACACAGTGTGTACAGCTATGAATGGCACTCATAGCTGCCATTTAAGATGGGGCATGTGCATTACAATAAAACATTTGTGAATACTTTCAAAGGATTATTAGTATGAAGGCTGTGGAGCAGTGTTTACTAAAACTTGAATTCAGTGGAAATGGACAACAGTCTTGATTGTACTCACATAGGAGTGGAAATGTATGTATTTGTATTAAGTGCAGTTTCTTGCCATATAGTATATGTTTTAAGTGCAGTTCCTTGCTGTATACCATAAGTTTAAGTGCAGTTCCATATACCTTGATTTTATTTTGCTTGTTGCAGAAGGTTCATTATCCAGAGACAAAACTTTCTGAATGCTCTTGTTCAGCTTCCCTAGGCACGAGCCAGAGTGGACATACAAATTCACTCCTGAATTTAGAAGTTATGTCTGTTCTTTCTTTTTAAAATACTACTTGTGTTTTTTTTTCCAGGATTTTGAAGAATTACAGCGACAACTTGAGTCTCGACTCCAGCATACTGAGATGTCAGGAGCCCATAATTCAGAGTACCAGACTTTAGCAGATTTAGAAAGGAAAGAAAGGGAATATTCTGAGCACGTAATAGATAATGTAACTTCCTATTTTTTTTCTAAAATTTAATCTAATTCTTTAATGGGGAATGTTTATTTATTTTTTTTCAACTGTTGGCTGGCCCACTGCAGTTTAGATGTGCATGAGTCCTGAAAGCATTTTTGCATTGCTCCAGCAAAGTATTTCCAACTCTCTTTGGGAACCAGTATGTTTTTTATACAAAAGCTGTTTTATCACACTGATTTTAGAGCTGAGAAATGTCTATTGATTGCCAGATGGTAAAGATTTATTTTAAGCCTGCGTATATCCTTTTAGGACTTTTATCCTAGCACCTTGGTTTCTTCATTCCTCCATAACTAAGAGAGTAATAAGAGACTATAAAACTCTTTCATCTCAAATAAATACTAAGAAAATAATTAATGTATAACCTTTTAGTATGTTTTGCACATTTATGTACATTTACGTCGTTGATGTAAAGTACAGTTTGATAGCAAGCATTTGATTCTCAAAGATTAATTTCTTTCTCATCACTAGTGTCACTACATCCAATAGCTTGAAGGCTAGAAAACTGGCGGTTAAAAATATTCTGTATATTTTTTCCAGTAAACTTGAGTCATCTGGCAGGTATTCTAGTTCCCAGTCCTGTTTTTGAGTTTTGAGCAAATTTATGGCTGATGAAAATGGAAGACTGACTAGTCAGACTGATGGCTCTGTGAGCTGCCTATGCTGATTGATTGTGGCACTTCAGCCATGAAGTAAACAGGCCATCATCTCAGCCTTGGGCTTTTTTTTATAAAGGAGCGAATATTTTTTTCATATCTAGTGGTTCAGTGCTTCACTGGGAATTTTCTCAGCTTCCTCTTGATTCTCTGTACCTTTCACTTTTTAGTGGAAGTCCTGGTAATGATGGTACACCTGTGTCAAGTTTCTTTTGCAATTTAACTTTGCTCTGTGAAAGATTGATTGTTTAGAGTCCTCCAGAGTTAGTTTCATAAAAAAAACACTGGCAGCTTTGCTGAGCAACATGAGGCAGTTATTCACCAGTAGCAGTCATCCTTCAGTGGGCCTGGCACTCTTAAGCCAGCAGATGCTTTTCATCCATATTGAAGATTATTTCCCTGTATGCAGATTCATATAGTCAGAACCTGCATAATGTAAAGATTTTTTTTGCCATACTCACAGATGCCGTAGTCACACTCACAGATACTTCATACAAATCTTGGTCATGAATACATTCTCTTGTCTTTATGTATACTGGTAATCCCACTGAATACCACAGAATATTCACAGTTGTGCTCAGTCCTGTTTGTTGGATTGAAGCTTAAAACCGGAGATGCCCATATGATAATGTATCAGAATTAGCATATCTACTGCACTGATACTGCATAAGTACTTAATTCCAGTACAGGTAATAAAGTGCTTGTGTAGCATGTGTCTATGAAAGACTTTGTGAAAAACTGTCAATTTTCAATTTTCCTTTTTTAGCAGAAATCTTGTTTGACTGGAATGGCTGCTCCTATAGCTAAACAGACTTACCAGAAAAAGGGCAGCAGTTTGTTACCTCCTTTTCATTTAACCATTAATACTAACGACATGATTGGCTTTTAGAGGTGCAATATGCGGAGAACTAGCCACAAATTCGTAGCAAGTTATACCAAATGACTACATTTAAAAAAAGAGTTGACCTACTGGTTATGTGCCACCCATATGTTTATCATCATATAGTAAAATGGGCTCTTTAGCTTTACAAAATGTTCTCTATAATTAATTCTGAAAGCTGTCTGTAGTCTCAGTGACTTCTATCTCAGTAGACTTACATGCCTCTTACTGTAATAAAATACTAGAGATTGATAAGGAAGCATGGATTGTTTTTTTTATTCATATTCTACAGATGGAAACTTTCTGGAAGCAGACTGACAAAGCCCAGCAGGCTTTTTTGGACGAATCAAAATGCTCAAGTGCCAAAGCAACAAAGATAATGATGGATCTGACCGAGAAGATGATTGCAGTAGAAAGCTTATTATGTGAATCTCAAGATTTGCAGGCAATGGTAAAGTACAAAAAGAAATAAAAGTTGAGAGAGATTTAGTCAATCTGAACACAAAGAATGATTCAATTGTACAGATTCTGTCAGTCCTGCCTCAGGAATGATGTAGCCTCCTTATTTCAGTTGCCTTTTTCAGTTTTGTTGTAAAGAGCTCAGCTTCCATTGCAATTTATGAAGACTCACACAAAGATGAACTCTGCACTTGAGTTCTCTTGCTCAAAATAGTGTTGAGGCAGTCATGTTAGGAAAAAGCAATACTAATGCAGCCAGCATGCTCGAGCAAGAGCACTAGATCTAATCATGAAGGAGAATTGTTGTCCTCAGCATTAGGACATTTCTTTTTGTTTCAAAGTGTTTATTCCACTTTCACCGATAAATCTCTGTGTGACTCTGTGTCCAGTGACTTTAACTGGAATCGAAAAGCCTTAGCATCTCTTAGTGATACAGTCTTAAGAGGGAAGGATGTGTTTACAAATGCATCAGCACTGTGCTTTATGTTATTTTAAATCTTAACATCCTTTATTCATTTTGCACAGGACTTACTGGAAGAGTTAATTTGTAGATTAACATTACAATCAGTCTGGCCCACTGCATTTATTAGTAATGTGGAGACTAAAAGGATAGCTAGTTTTATTTGGTTTACCAATAAAAAGGTGCAGTAATTATTAGCTTGTTAGTTTTGCATTGGAGCAGCTAAGTAAACTAAGCTGTCCTGGTATGAAAATAGCAACTGAGCATGCAATAAACCCACTGCTATCCTACACCAGTCACAATTTAAGTACAGGAGATTGTTGTTCACACGGTCTTGGGAAGCCTCCTTAGTTTTCTGTATAGTTTGTGAATGAAAATTGCAGTGAAATGACAAGCACAACTGAAGGCTTATTCTTGGTTTCTAAACAGGGCTTTTTAATGTTTGTTTTAGGACATTCAGGAAAGGTTATTCAACAGGGAGCTTATGGTGAAAATGATTGATTCACTGAAGTCCTATATACCAGAAGAGTGCAAATGTAGATTAAATATTGTATCAAATATTCTGGACCATTTAACTGTAAAGAATAATCTCTCAGTCCGACAAAAGGAAGAACTTTTAACAGATCTGCACAAGGCCTTTTGGGAACAGTTGGCACATTTCAGTAATGGTGAGTACATAGAGCAGAGATCATGACTTAACAAATATGGGTATAAATTCTCATTAGTGTATTATAGCTTCAGCGCTATTCTCCTCTGTTTTAAAAATGTATTAATGAATTGGCAAACACTGTTACTGTGATGGATGGATGCTTAGAATGGAAACTTCGGCTTTAAGCCTTTTAAGTCTTGTTCCAGGCATTACTGTGAAATTACAGTTCACATGATCTATACCTTATTTCATTAATTTGAAGATTGAAGAGCAGTCACATTTGTTACAAGTATCTGTGAGATTTCTCCATTTACTGCCCAGATACTTGACATTGTTGATGATACTGGCTAACATGAAGGACAGTAATGGCTGTGTATGTGCAGAAGACTTGTCTTATGATCTCCTGCTAGCATGTGGAGCCAGAAGATACACAAAACATAGTTGTGCTATCACTCTTGTGAAAACATAATTTTAAGGCAAATAATCTTCATATAAACCTGATTTTTACTATATGAGACTAAAAATACTTTAAAAATGAAGTCTTTTCCTCTTCCTGTTGCGCGCCTTCATGTCGCCTGTTAAATACACAATTATAACAGTCTAAGCTGACTGACTGACAAGGTTCTCCCTATGTCACTTGGCATGTTACCTAATGCCCAGCATATTGAGAAACATACCCCCAACTTTTCTGATAGGTGCTGTACCAAAGGCTCAGTGGTTCAGGACTCATGGAAAATTATAGTACACGTTCAGCAAAAATGAGGAGTTTTTTACTCTCAAACATTTTCCAGAACCATTTCTGTTACTAGTGGGCATATTTAAAGAAAATTGTCCTAACAAAATGTCATTAGGGTTAGAGTTCAGTGAACTAGATAGTCAAAATGAATGTAGTCTTGTTGCAGTATATTCTAGTTGCAGTGCTGCTCATTCACTTTCAGGCTTCATGCTGATAAATTGTGCCATGTCTCAATCAGGAGTTCACAGAATCCCAGAACAGTTGAGGTTGGAAAGAACCTCGTGAGGTCATTTGGTCCATCTCCCCCTTACTCAGGCAGGGTCAGCTATAGCTGGTTGGTTGCCCAGGAAATGGAACGTGCTTAAAAAAGTAAAACCAAAAATAATCTGGAGTGCAACATTTTCACATATGACTGTGTTGACCTTGCTTATGAGCTCCTAACTACATAAATTGAACTGTACCTATAATTTGTAAGCAGAACACAAAGCCAGCAAGACTGTGCTCCTAGGAAACAAACAAGGAAGTAGTAAAGAATCAAGTAGTGTTTAAAAACAACAGTTGCTGTTTGTTCAGGTGACATTTTTATTACAGGCTTTCTTGTGCTTTCAGTGCACTTTCAAGTGTTTTGTTAGTGTATCATCAGCCTGTGGATAAGCACAATAAATTAGCGTGGAGAATAAGTAAACTGCTTGGTGCTGTACTAATAAACTCCTTTATTTCTCCACAAAGTAATTTCTCATAGTTGCAACAGCATGATGTGGCAGAACAGCAGCCACAGAAGACTATTCTTTCACATTCCCCTTTAGCTGCCTGAGTTGGGGTGAAATACTGGTCTAGGGAAGGACAAGGGGAGGGAAATGAACAAAGTTCTTCTTAGGTGGACAGGCAGTGAGACAGGATGTAGTTGCAGAACATTGAAAGCACCAATTCCACTCTTCAGCACAGGGTCCAGATAGACTCAGGAATTTGTAAATCACTTGGACCTATAGGGGAGGTGAAGAGGGGAGGAACTTCGTCCCAAATATTTCATGGTACAAGCACAAGATCAGAGGGACTTTTAACAACTTTTGCTGCAGGTTTCTGGATGAGTTACTTTGGGAGGCTGGTATGGCAAATCTGAACTAGCACTGCTCTGGATCTTTTCTCCATGCCACATGTTGCTGCCTCTGTCCTTGCAGCAGCATCTGCATATCTGCAATTAGGTAATGAGCCGCTTCTTTTGGGGTCCTGTAGGTGGGAATCTGTTTCTTGAGCTGACACACTGCCTTTGCATGAGCAGCAGCACCAGTGACAGGGAGGGTGCAGGATGGTAGTGATCCAAAAACCTGGTAAGTTAAGTGCCATATAACAACCCAGAAGTTCACATCTAAAAAGACTGTCAGAGTAGGACTTAAATTTAAAGTTCTCCATGGTGATTACTTGCCTCTTTCACTCACTAACAGATTTCTGTGAGCTTATGTTGTGTGACAATAGCAGATGCTAATTTCTCCCTGTGGAGTTGTGGTGTCTAATCATGAGTGTTTTACGCTTCAGAATGTATCCAGCAAAGCAAAGACCTGATCTTGAAACGACTTGAGAGCTGTGCAAAGAAGAAAGAAGAGTTCGAACACAGACAGAAAGCTGAACAAGGCAGTCTCCTCAGTAAAACTTTTCATAATGAAGATGTTCATGATTTTCTTAAGGTGAGCACATAAAAGCTTATTTTCACTGTTCTGTTATTTTTTAAATATATTACAGATTCTTCCCTGTTCAATAAAGTTGTGATTTTTGAGTCTCCCTGAGAGTCAAGCATAGTAGCACCAGGAGGATAGTGTCAGACCCTTATTGCCTAGGTTTGCTTGGAGACTTTTTCTCCAGTATTGATCTTGTTGCATTGGAACAAAATGCTGAAGGGTATTAATGCTAGATTACATGTTTTGTAGAAAACATTTTTTACTGAGATACTATGTGTTTGGTTCAACATAGGATATCTCTGAAAGAATGTATCTGTCCTGCCTGACAGAAGAAAGCAGGCTGCACTGATGTAATTGCTTTTCTATGAGTGAGGTTACTGAGTTCAAAAGACTATCAAATTTCACGTAAGCTGAGGGAAAATTCATTATGATTGCTGGCAGGATATATTAGAGAAGGTTTGCCATAGATAATTTAATATGGTATGTAATGGCCAGTGTAGTGTTTTCTTGGCCATATTTTCTATGAAGCTCCATTGTTATAGTTCAGAATACATATAGGAGATCAGTGTTCTTGGCTGTAAATGCTGGGAGCTGCAAAACTCCTATAAGTGCTGAGAACTACAGACCCAAGTTATTAGGAAATAATAATAAAAAAAATCAATCCTCAATTTTCATTAAAAGAAATAGTTTAAGGTTAAAGTGGTTACATCCAGCACCATTAAACTTTTGATGAAATCTAATAACTTAGATAAATTTATCTATGAGAAGACTCAGATTCCAGCTGTAATAAACTGTCAAAATTTATTGATCTCAACAGTGCAATTTTGTACTGCAGGGCCAAGTTCTTCAATTATATTGTATGAATTGGATAATCATAGAATCGTAGAATCGTTAGGGTTGGAAAGAACCTTAAGATCATCGAGTTCCAAGCCCCTCTGCCGTGGGCAGGGACACCTTATGCTAAATGATATCACCCAAGGCCTCGTCCAACCTGACCTTGAACACTGCCAGGGATGGAGCATTCACAACCTCCCTGGGCAACCTATTCCAGTGCCTCACCACCCTAACAGGAAAGAATTTCCTTCTTATATCCAATCTAAACTTCCCCTGTTTAAGTTTTAACCCATTACCCCTTGTCCTGTCACTACAGTCCCTAATGAAGAGTCCCTCCCCAGCATCCCTGTAGGCCCCCTTCAGATACTGGAAGGCTGCTATGAGGTCTCCACGCAGCCTTCTCTTCTCCAGGCTGAACAGCGCCAACTTCCTCAGCCTGTCTTCATACGGGAGGTGCTCCAGTCCCCTGATCATCCTCGTGGCCCTTCTCTGGACTTGTCCCAACAGTTCCATGTCCTTTTTATGTTGAGGACACCAGAACTGCACACAATACTCCAGGTGAGGTCTCACAAGAGCAGAGTAGAGGGGCAGGATCACCTCCTTCGACCTGCTGGTCACGCTCCTTTTGATGCAGCCCAGGATACGGTTGGCTTTCTGGGCTGCAAGCGCACACTGAAGCCGTCCCATGTTCATTTTCTCATCATCCAACACCCCCAAGTCCTTTTCTGCAGGGCTGCTCTGAATCTCTTCTCTGCCCAACCTGTAGCTGTGCCTGGGATTGCTCCAACCCAGGTGTAGGACCTTGCACTTGGCATGGTTAAACCTCATGAGGTTGGCATCAGCCCACCTCACAAGTGTGTCGAGGTCCCTCTGGGTGGCATTCCTTCCCTCCATGGTATCAACTGAACCACACAGCTTGGTGTTATCAGCAAACTTGCTGAGGGCGCACTCAATCCCACTGTCCATGTCACTGACAAAGATGTTGAACAAGACCGGTCCCAACACCGATCCCTGAGGGACACCACTCATTACTGGTTTCCAGCCGGACATTGAGCCATTGACCACAACTCTTTGTGTGTGGCCATCCAGCCAGTTCTTTATCCACTGAGCGGTCCATCCATCAAATTGATGTCGCTGCAATTTAGAGACAAGGATGTCATGTGGGACAGTGTCGAACGCTTTACAGAAGTCCAGGTAGATGACATCAACTGCTCTACCCCTGTCCATCAGTTCTGTAGCCCCATCATAGAAGGCCACCAAATTGGTCAGGCAGGATTTCCTGTTAGTGAAGCCATGCTGACTGTCACCAAGCAGCTTATTGATTGTCATGTGCCTTAGCATGCCATCCAGGAGAATCTGCTCCAGGATTTTGCCAGGCACAGAGGTGAGACTGACTGCTCTGTAATTCCCCAGGTCATCCATTTTTCCCTTCTTGAAAATGGGGGTTATATTTCCCTTTTTCCAGTCATTGGGAACTTCACCTGACTGCCATGATTTCTCAAATATTCTTGTATGCAACACCTGTGCAGCAACACCTCGCTTCAAAACCAAAGGTTTCAGACACTTTTAAAGAGTAGAGCACATTTTACATCTTTGGCTTTTCATAACTTGAGACAGATAATTCTGTCACACATTTTTGTAGCCATTGAGCACTTGTGAGTGTACTTCCTTTATATACATCACTGAAATCTCTTGGATGCATCCAAAAAGCTTAAGAAATTTTGTTTTAAGACCTCTCCCCTATTAAGTTAAAGCCACACAGCTTTGTGCAAGAAATGCTGTGTTCTGTACATTTTAGGAATGCTAACAAATACACTTAAACCGTACACTGATGATCTGCTTCTGACAGGCAAGTAGAAATGGGCAACTTACTCTTCATGTTGCAAGACAGAATACAACTGAGTCAGTATTTTCAAATGTCTGTGTGCAAATAATAAAAGTCAGAAATTTAAGCCTTTCTGCTGCCACAGTGGAGAGAGCCTTTTTTCTCCCCAGAACAAATGGGGTCTTGAGTCCGGAGACTCTTTGAAGAGTAAAAAAAATGGTATGTATTTCCCATTTAACTTCCATGCTTTGACTTAAATAGTCCAGTAATTATTTTGTATAAACAGTCCCCTCAGAACTGAGGAGGTATTTTAAACCTGTTTCATGGTTTCACAGCCAGCCCAGTGAAGGAATTGGTTCTGAATCCTCACCATGAGCCCAGAGTTGCACCCATCAAATGCACCTTTCTTCTTTGCCTTCCCCCCTGCACCTAATCAAAAGGCTCGCACCACCATGGTAGCAGTCTCAGCAGTAACTGACCTTTCTGCTGAATATAGAGTGCTTGCCGGTTATGAAGGTGGGGTTTGTAATGAACTTTCTTCACATCAGTTTGTTTTGAACACAAGTTGGATGGTAATGATTTAGCTGCTGCAGCTCTGAATTTTAACATGTGTCTCCTTCTCTTTCCACTGGAAAAGGAGCACTTTTTTTTGCTTCGTTTTTTTTTTCTTCTTGGTTGTTTTTTGTTTTTTTTTTTTTTTTACTTTCAGAAAATACACGAATGATCAAATGAAGCACACAAGCCAGAAAGTGTCAGTTACAATATTGGGTACATATTATTTAACCCAAATTGCTTAGGCTATGGAGTTTCATATCTAAGAGTGGGTGTGCTCAAATTAAGGCGGTAAGGCAATGTCCCTCTGACTTACAATTCCAGCTGAGCACTTAACTATTGTGATGGCACATGGCAAAGGGATCAGAGAAAGGAAAGAGAGAATCACAAGAAGCTATCAAAATTTTTTCAGCTATTTAAATACAGCTGTTGTGTTTCTTTTAGGCTTACCATGAATTGCTAGAGAAGCATCGGCAAGCACAGTGGGAACTGGAGGAGGAGGATGACTGCGGGAGCACAGAGGCTATTGCAGATCTCTACAAGGTGCCATCTCTAATGATATATGTCATTTACTAATATAAATTCTGAAGATCCTCTAACCCCATTATGCAATGTCAAGCCTTGGGAAGGATTGAGAAATTGCAGGAGATACCATGGTGGCTCTGGCAAACCTCAAAACAGCACAGATGTCCACATTAGCTTGCCTTTTCCATGATCTTCCCAGCACACTACATTTCCTAACCTCGTGGTGGCTGACAAGGCTGCAATAATGCTGAGAGCATATATGTCTGGCATTACATTACCAGGAGATACATTTCATTTATGTAACATAATTATCTCCTCTGCACCATGGTAGGATGATACTATTCTTAGTTAACTTCACTTTATCTCCAAAAATAGTTCTCTCATTTATCTTCCTCTCAGAGAAGTTGTTTTTGACACTAGTTAGTTCACTGAAATAAGTTCAGATCTTTGGTGTAAGTAATATTTTATATTTCTTTATATTCCTGATTTGGAAAATATGTAAATGCTTCATACTTTTGCACCATGTTATTTCCTGTCTGCACTGAAAATGTGAGATAATGTGGTCTATCTCATGAAGCCTAAAACCAGCTAGCAGTGACCTTTAATTAGGCTGGAACAAATCACTTTCAGCTCAACAGGATCCTTGTCATGATTAATTATGACCAGATCAGGGTATTATGGAAACTTGTAGTTCTTATTATATTAGGATAAGATACCCACACAGTCTTAATTAGCACTAGTCCAAATGCACTTTTTCAAATTCAATTGATAAAAAAAATCAAAGCAACTGTATTTAGAACAAGTAGTTTTGCCATGGTTTTATGTAATAGTGCAAGCAACAGGATATTTGATAAGCACTACTTTGGAGAAAGGATTGGAGAAAGGAAAAGTTTGCTTGGATGGCTGTGCCAGTGAATTAGAGTAGATTAATTGTACAAAGCTGTATAATTTAAGTAGAATCATCATGTCTTCTGATACTGCTATGTGCAATCCATTCTCCAGAGTTACTAATTTATCCATCTCCTTCCTCAATTCACAGGAAGATTCTGGAGACCAAACAATTCTTTTTTACCCTGTGCAGTTCCACCTCATTTGTGAAATTATATTGCTTTCCTTCATTGTGTACTTTGCTTTAGTGATGTTAAGATCAGACTGAAAATCTTATTTGTTTCAGCACTGTTAGCTAAGTTTTCTTTTCCATTAATGAAAAATTGGTTTGGGTGAATTAAGTCTTTATAGAATTGCCAAGTTGCCAGGAGAGCTGCATAAACTTGAACCTTGCCAATTCACCCAGGTCTAAGCCATTATATGCCATATTACAGCTGCTCTCTTATTCCTAGATCCAAACAAACACTGCCAGACATGAAAAACTGCAAGTACTGTGATCCAGCTGGCATATGTTGAATAGGGGCCCACAAATCCTAATTTACACCTTTTTTTTCTTTTACAAAACATTTTTATTGTGACATTTAACATAAAGAGCAACTGCACTTCCTCCGTTTAACCCTAAATACAGTTACTAGAGACTGTTTTAGGAGAGCAGACTGCCTCTGAATATACCTTGTAAGCAGCATAAGTTAGAAAGAAGAGGAAATGCAAATAAGCATAGCCCTGCTGTCAGTAGATGGAGTTGTTCTGACTTCTACAGCTGAGGTAAGTGCAGTAGTTATACATATGTTGCCCATTACCTGGGGCATAAAAGCAAAAATAGATTTGCCATTAAGGTAGGGGGTTGCATCTCACAACTGCAATGCCTTTGCTTCTCTCCCTGCTCTACCACACTTTCAGAGAAGTGCATTTGGACAAGCAGAAACCTTTTCCTGGGCAGCAGGGCTTTGCCTCTTCACTTAGTTTCTCTGTGTTTCTGCTAGGGAGATAACTTTACTCCTACCAGTGGGGAAGGCAAGATACCTATGTGAAGGCAGCAGTGATTTGAAGTACTCCATGGTGCAGTGGTGTTACTGCAGCTCAGGTAGACCGAGGCAAGCAAACATTAGACTCACCAGCTGGGTACCAGCAACCCTTACATGGCAAAAGTCAACACTGTGCTGCAAGATCTGTGTCCCGGTCAGGTTTGGGCTAGCTAATGTGTAGAACATCTACGAATGTTAGATGCTAACAAACTAGCCAGCTAGTTTGGGAACATCTGCAAACACTGCAAATCTCCCTGGTGTCATTCCGGGAGGCCTGTACTCCTAAAGCTTAGCTGATAGTCATTTGCGTTGCACTTTGTTGGAAGGTTTGGACTCTGCTGTTTCTGTACTGTGAGCAAAGAAAAGGTTCAATTAAATGTTTGGTTAAACATTCTGTTGTTTACTTAATCTCCATATTTCTATCACTGAAAGCATGTGTTACTAAGTGTAAGTTAGAAGGCAGGAAAATAAGTTCACAAGTGGAGAGTTGTATTCTGTTCTTTTATACCATTCTAGTAGAAACAGAAGCTTAGCAATATTACTGAAAAAACTGAGTGAAATTCTCTGAACTCACCCTGGCATGCTCCACAGATACTTAGATGAGTATTCCACAGCTTGTGGTCCACAAGACATCTATAGACAGATTGCAAGACATTTTAAAAAAATGCATTAATATATTTGTAAACGCAGAGTGGAAAGAATTAGAAGTAATTAAATATTCAGCCCAGTTTTTATGTTGTTGTAAATGAAAATTGGCCTTTGAAAACTGCACAAAGTAGTTAAGATTTCCGCCACAGAGAATTAAATAGCTGTTGCATTTAAGGGAAATAAAACTGAGATGTCTTACTAGGAGCTAATTACCTAAATCCAAGAGGAGGAAAAGTGTTATCACAATGCTTCCATAATGAAAATTTAGCGATAGCATCCTATATGCCTTCTCTCCCAAGCATCTCATACTCTCTACTGGTCCAGGATTAAAGAAATACCACCTATTCCGGGCTGAACAATCTTGTGTTGTCCTGTACTCACAAGATTTAGGATTCCAGACAATTTCATGCTTGTGTACCCATTGCCATCTTGACTTTGGTTGGAAACCCCTAGAACTGGAATGAATCACACCATGCTTCTTATGTTAATGGCAACAGAACCCAAACCATGGTAGGATTTTTTGGTTTTTTTTTTCCACATCCAAGCTCTCTCTTAAGTTGTTTGGGCATCATCAATATTGCAATTTATAAGCACCAGTATCCTAGTAAAGAACAGCCATGTTGGTTCAAACAAATGACCATTTGGAGTAATATCCTGTAAGTTCATGTACTGTAACAGCACCGGTGTTGGAGAGATGTGTAATGCCAACTTACCTAGTTAGGTCCTATCCTCAGGCATACCTTCAGCTAACAGCAGTTACTAGCAGCTTTCAAAGCCACTCTCTTAGAGCATACAGGTGCCTCCATCCTATATCAACTTTCTAAACCATCCACCCCCCTTTAAGTACTGTAGCAAAACTCATACTGTAGATGACAAGCTAGAATTGCTTGCATTTTTGGATTGCACTCTTGACAAACTCACTGAACCAAGCACAGAAGCCAAAGTGCTCAGCCATTGCCCTAAGCTCATGGTCCTTATCTGCTGTAGTTGAAAGCCACTAAACCTTTCTATTTCTTTTTTTTTTTTCAGGAGAAAAGGACCTGTCAATGTCTTATATGTGATAAAGGCTTGTATGCGATAACAAGTTTAGACTCTCCATTCCTCCGTCGGTTGTGCACTAGAATGACAACTTACTTCAATAGTTATCTTGGTTTGTCCTAGCATAAGCAAGCAGGGAAGCAAGCCTGACAGACTTAGTTTCATGAATAAGTACAAAGATAATTTTAATGCAAGAGGTGATATTAAAATATAAGGAGAAGGTCACCATGCAACCAAATAGGGAATCAATATCCTGGGGACAGAAAAAAAGATGCCACTTACCTGTAAGTGCCTCTCACTTGTGGGAGAAGATCTTTACCTTGTTCTCACCTGGTAAGGTTCTTCTGAGCCCTTCTCAAATTTTTAGGCCTTTGTTATTTTTTATTTTTTCCTCACTTACATAGTTTGTGAGTTCATCAATATAGATTTATATAACCCTCTAACCCTGCAAGCTACAGTACATAAAAAAAATTGTCCAAATTGGTGAATAAATACGTAAAAATGCAATGATCTGGAAGCTGACTGTGTTTGCACAGAATAATTGAGTAGGTTTGTTTTGTGTACACATGAATAAATCAATTAAATTATTTGGAATGGAATCTGTGGATACCTGAAGTGGATGAATGAGTTTTGTTTGGGTGATAGCATAGGACTTTTCAGGCACATTAGTGGAGTAAAATAGTCCACTGTAGGTGAATAGGCTGAGTTCAGACACAGGCTTCATAACCAATTTTTGAAGTGCAAGTTCAGGAAAGTGGAGAAGTGATTTTGACTATCACAGTGTATCATAACTCAAAAGAGGACTTTTGTCAGAGGTAATTGAATGGCTCAGCCAAATATTTTCATAAACACAGTCTGCAGATTTATCCTGTACACAAGGGATATTGTGCTGCAGTAACAGTTCTGTGCTAGCTTGGGAAGCTTTTCAATTGTAAAGTTTTTACTGTAGTATTATTTTAGGTGACAGCAAAAGCACCCCCATAATGTAGCCTGTTTTGTTTCTCATTTCTTACGATCCTTTGAAAACATTAATATCTAGCTCTCCAGGTCTGTCACAAGTTTAGCAAATGAGATGTTCATCAATATTTAATATTTCATTTTCTTTTTTTTCTTTTTGCGAATTTCCTACTTAGCAGGGAAAGGAGAAGGGAAATGAGGTTAGTGATCAACAGTTCATTATTAAGAAAACAGACATGCAGATTCACAAAGTAAATCAGTTAACAGTTGGGAACTACATTGTCCATGGTAAGATAATTATTTCTCCTCAGCTTTAACATCAAAACCATAAAAACCACACAATTTACTGTCATTTGTAATTCCCCTTTGCTGATAGCAGTCACCCAGAATGTTATTTCATTTGACCTGACAGAACACAGAAATGCACAGAAATTTAGACTAAAAGGTATTAAATAATTATTG